TACATTGCACAGGTATTAGAGATCTGTGATTTCTATGTGAGAATCCTGTACAAAAGGCATATATTCTATAAACCTAGTTCTTTGGGAGGCTAAGGAGGATTGCTTGAGCCCAGGAGTTTAAGACCAGTATGGGCAACACAATGAGACCCCTTTTCCTCAAAAATAAAAATAAAGGCTGGACATGGTGGCTCATGCCTGTAATCCCAGCACTTTGGGGGTTTAAGGTGGGCAGATCATGAGGTGAAAAGTTCAAGACCAGCCTGGCCAACATGGTGAAACCCCATCTTTACTAAAAGTACAAAAATTAGCCAGATGTCTTGGCATGTGCCTGTAATCCCAACTACTTAGGAGGCTGAGGCAGGAGAATTGCTTGAACACTGGAGGTGGAGGTTGCAGTGAGCTGAGATCGTGTCACTGCATTCCAGCTTGGGTAACAGAACAAGACTCCGTCTTGGAAAAAAAAAATTTTAAAAAGTACAATAAAGTAAAAAAAAAAAAAAAAAAAAAAGTTAGAGGTAAGAAGAAAAAGACATACAGTTATTCTTTTTTTTATTTATTCTTTTTTAAAAATTAAAAAATTTTCCTTTATCCTAGAACTTTTTTTTTTTTCCTGCTTTTTTGGCCTCTAGCACTTGCATACGTTTTTTATTTTTATTTTATTTTATTTATTTATTTATTTATTTATTTATTTTGAGACGGAGTTTCGCTTTTGTTACCCAGGCTGGAGTGCGATGGCGCAATCTCGGCTCACCGCAACCTCCGCCTCCTGGGTTCAGGCAATTCTCCTGCCTCAGCCTCCTGAGTAGCTGGGATTACAGGCACGCACCACCATGCCCAGCTAATTTTTTGTATTTTTTTTAGTAGAGACGGGGTTTCACCATGTTGACCAGGATGGTCTCGATCTCTTGACCTCGTGATCCACCCGCCTCGGCCTCCCAAAGTGCTGGGATTACAGGCATGAGCCACCGTATTTTTTTTTTTAAATTAAAAAGTTTAGTTATTCTTTTGTGTTATAATGGTTGCTGTTATGGCTCATAAGTGTTGTAACTGAATTTTCTCTCCCTAGAACCTTTTGTAAGAACATGACTTTAGTTGTCATACTCATTAGAGATTGCACACAACTATAGACAGGTGTATTTTGGTTGTTCATAACTGATATTTAATCAAGCTCGAAGCAGTAATGTGCTTCCAAAGGACAAGCTGTTGTAGAGTTGGACTCCCTTGGACTTCTACTCGGGACCAATTTGCTTAGCTATTTGTATCTATGATGCTTGGAGCCCTTCTTTTGTCTAAAGTATATATTTAGAATCTATGTATTTTTGTCATACTTTAATCTCTTTGAATATGTACATGGACTCTGGATGCTGTTCCCACTATGTCAACCTCAGATGAGAATGGAGGGTAGTGAGAAGCCATCTTTGAAAGCTCAAATCCACTTCTGTATTCATTGAGAAGTTTTGGGAGAGGATGAATTGATGAGTCTGTAAATATCCATATACTCCAGCCAGGCGTGATGGCTCACGCCTGTAATCCCAGCACTTTCGGAGGCCGAGGCCATTGGATCACCTGAAGTCACGAGTTCGAGACTAACCTGGCCAACATGGTGAAACCCTGTCTCTTAAAAAAAAAAAAAAAAAAAAAAATCCATATACTTCAACCCTGTCTTATGCAATTTCTAATCTTAATTTCTTCTTTCCCTTTACTCTTTCCTTGTATTGTTAGCTCTTTTTTTAAGAAGTCCTTCGTAGCTTGTTGGGGTGATATGCACCTGTGGTCCCAGCGACTTGGGAGGCTGAGGTAGGAGGAATATTTGAGCCCAGGAGTTTGAAGCTGTAGTGGCACTATATTCTAGCCTGGGTGACAGAGCGAGACACCATCTCAACAAAAAGAAGAAAATAAGTCCTTTGTATTTCTTACTGGAAAACAATAAATAATTCATAATGACCATACTTTCTAAATATGATCTCTAATGTAATGTAATTACTAGGTAAAACATATTCTCAGTTTTCCCATAATTCCTGGGATTCTAGACTATAGAGACAGTAAGGAGATGAGAATTTAGAGAAAAACGTCTGATTTTGTTTAGATTCATCTTTATGTCCTCAGTTTCTTGACTTAAGGGAGGGAAAGAAAAGAGTTTGCACATTCATAGAAATTGAAAGCAAGTCTCAGCTTGATTGAGTCTCATTGCTTCTTGGTAGGTAAAGATATTCTACTGTTTGTATTGGATTGTAGTTGTAAACTGAGGGAAGAAGAAAGCTGTTATCACCGCTATTCAAGGTAAGTAGTTTCTGATTGCCTTATTTGTTCATGGAGGGCGTTTTTGGCCTTCTTACAAAGCAGTGCTAGGTAGAATAGTAAGGAGTGTATGAATGGAGAAAAGAGGCCCAATGGGAGACTGTAGCTTCATGAATTGAAAACTTCAGTCACCCTCTGAATGATTGTTATGGATGTCAGTCTGATTACTAGCAGCAGGCAAGCTGAATTCCCATGTTGTTACATATTCCTCTTTAGTAATTCTCTGATTGTGCTTCCCTTTTAATTCAAATTTGTTACCTTTGACGTGCAGGAGAAAGATGGGGGACAGGGGGGTGCAAGAAGATAAGGCAAATAATTTGGTTCTCAAAGGAAAGGGTAAAAAAGTACATAGTTTCAATAGAATACACTGGAGAATAGTAGCTAACACTTATATATAATCTTTACTATATACCAGAAATTATTTTAAGCATTTACATATGTTAGCTCACTCAATCTTTACAAAAGCCTGATTTGGGTACCCACTTACTATGATACTCATTTGACAGGTATCAGGGTTGAAATCCAGGTTAAGTAACTTGATCAAGGTCATATAGCTAGTTAGGCTAGTTAGTGGTAGAGTCTTAATTTGAAGCAAGGGGGTGCACTCTAGAGTCCATATTCTTTTCTTTTTTTGAGACATAGTCTTGCTCTGTTGCCCAGGCTGGAATGTAGTGGTATGATCTCGGGTCACTGCAATCTCCGCTTCCCAGGTTCAAGGATTCCCTGCCTCAACCTTCTGAATAGCTGGTATTACAGGTACCCACCATCACACCTGGCTCATTTTTGTGTTTTTAGTAGAGACAGCGTTTTACCATGTTGCCCAGACTGATCTCAAACTCCTGGTCTCAAATGGTACACCCTCCTTGGCCTTAGGCATCAGCCAATGTGTTTGGCCCTTGAGTATATACACTTAACTTTTGACCATTTTGGTCAAATTTGACTATCAGTCAATAGTTAATAGTTAATTATTATTATTATTATTATTTTTTTTTTTGAGACGGAGTTTTGCTCTTGTTACCCAGGCTGGAGTGCAATGGCGCGATCTCGGCTCACCACAGCCTCCGCCTCCTGGGTTCAGGCAATTCTCCTGCCTCAGCCTCCTGAGTAGCTGGGATTACAGGTACGTGCCACCATGCCCAGCTGATTTTTTGTATTTTTAATAGAGATGGGGTTTCACCATGTTGACCAGGATGGTCTCGATCTCTTGACCTCGTGATCCACCTGCCTCGTCCTCCCAAAGTGCTGGGATTACAGGCGTGAGCCACCGCACCCGGCCTATTATTATTTTTTTGAGATGGAGTCTGGCTCTGTTGCCCAGACTGGAGTGCAGTGGTGCGATCACGGCTCACTGCAACCTCTGCCTTCTGGGTTCAAGAGATTCTCCTGCCTCAGTCTCCCAAGTAGAATAGCTGGGATTGCAGGCACCCGCTACCACATCTGGCTAATTTTTGTATTTTTAGTAGAGATGGGGTTTTACCATGTTGGCCAGACTGGTCTTGAACGCCTGTCCTCAAGTGATCCGCCCACTTCGGCCTCCCAAAGTGCTGTGATTAAAGGCATGATCCACTGTGCCTGGCCTATTTTTTAAATAGTGTCAGGCTGTTCTTGAATGTTTGGGCTCAAGTGATCTGCCCATCTCAGGCTCCCAAAGTGCTGGGATTGAAAGGTGTGAGCTACGGCACCTGCCCACCTCCTTTACCTTTACAAATTTCTGCATGTTCTTGTCCTGCCAATTCATTACTTAACTACTACATTAATTCTCATAGTGATCTTCTTTTCTCTTCTTCCCCCCCCCCACTTTTTTTTTTTTAGATGCAGTTTTACTTTTGTCACCCAGGCTGGAGTGCAGCGGCACAATCTTGGCTGACTGCAACCTCCGCCTCCTGGGTTCAAGTGATTCTCCTGCCTCAGCCTCCCAAGTAGCTGGATTACAGGCGCTCACCACCACACCTAGCTAATTTTTATATTTTTAGTAGACATAGGGTTTCACCATGTTGGCCATGCTGTTCTCGAACTCCTGACCTCAGGTGATCTACCTGCCTCTGCCTCCCAGAGTGCTAGGACTACAGGCGTGACCCACCGCGCCCGGCTCCCACAGTAATTTTTTATTAAACTACTTTGAGCCAGTAACTAGAAAGCTTGGAACATGGGAAAAGAAATTAAGAAATAGATGGTGTTGGGCTGAGTATAGATTATTATGCCTATTATAAGGTAATTGCTATGCAAATACTTTTTATCCTGTATGTTTTAGGAAATAGTGACCAAAAAGTCTGTACATATTCAGCACAGATTCAACCATTGTAGACCTCACTACATTTTTCATCCATGGTTGCTTGAATCCATGGATGTGGAAACCATGGATCAGGAGGACGTACTGTGTTTCCTTTCTGATGTCCAAACTGGAAATACATAAATAGTAGAATAATTAAAAAAAAAAAAAACCTCGTGATCCACTTACACCATTTTGGTGCTAACAATATAACTTCACTGTGGGAAGAACTTGAAAACATTTTTACAAACTGACCCTTCACTTACTAAGTTGTTTTCCATCTAATGATACGGCATAATTCTGTCATTAATATCACCTTTGATTTCATTGTGTTTTTACCATTGTTATAATATTGAGAATACTACTAATGATAGGAAAATATTTGTGTGTATAAAAATTTTTTTTTACCTTTAAGTTTCTACTTTCTTTTCAGGTATGACAGCAGTTATCTGTACTTACCCTCTTGACATGGTTAGGGTCCGCCTAGCATTCCAGGTGAAAGGGGAACACACCTATACAGGAATTATTCATGCATTCAAAACTATTTATGCAAAGGTATTTCATATTTACCTTCCTCATGTATAACATGCCCTTTTATACTTAGGAAAATATTTTGAATGTTACATAAATAATTATTATTTTACTTACAATTATTGATGTTAATAACAGTAATTATGAAAGCACATCTTTGTGTTTCAGGGTGGATCCCAGCATAATTTTTCTGTTATAAAGTGTGATTTTATTCTTTGATGTTTATTATAATGAGCACAATGTAATCTCACTTGCAATTTTTCTTCACTCAAAAGGAAGGTGGTTTCTTTGGATTTTACAGAGGCCTGATGCCTACTATTTTAGGAATGGCTCCATATGCAGGTATGTTTCAAATTTGCCAGAATCTTAATTTGTATGTTTAAAATTTGTTACCTTCTTTTTTTTTTCTGAAATGGTAATATAAAAAGATGCTATCTGTTAAGTACTTTTCATAAGAAATGATTTATGCATGGTCACGTAATAATATCTTGCATTTGAACATGACTATTCATGTACAATAAGTAGAAAAGTACTTTTACATCTTTTTCTTAATATCTGAGCCAGCTGTAGTCTTGTTAACACACACGTTAGATGATGTTAGGCATTCAGTTTTTATGGGCATGTTAATTAAAATAGAAGTTGAAAAGTAGTTTTTGTCTCATAAATAGTGAAGACTTATGGGAAATTTTGAAACTATAGAAAAGTAGAAAGAAGAAAAATAAGGATACCTGTAGTTCTCTAGTCTCCGTTATTACCTTGTTAACAGTTCTGTTTTTTATTTATTTATTTATTATTTATTTATTTTTTAATTTTTATTTCATTTTATTCACCTGGGCACAGCCGGGCTGAGGCAAAAAGGGCGTCAGCCTATTCTTTTTTTTTCCAAGAAAGTCTTGTGAGTGAAGTTGTTTTTTTTTAAACTGAACTTTTTATTTTGGGGTAATTATGGATTTACATGCAGTTGTGTTACACGACAAAATTGCAGCCAGTTTAATTTAAACATCTCAATTGGCTTTATTTGCAATTCTAGAATTGGGCAATACATTTCCTAAGTGTTGTAATGACTAGATCAGGAGTTGATTTTTTTTGTGGGGATGGAGTCTCACTCTGTTGCCAGGCTGGACTGCAGTGGTACGATCTTGGCTCACTGCAACCTCTGCCCCCAGGTTCAAGTGATTCTCCTGCCTCAGCCTACCGAGTAGCTGGGACTACAGGCACAAACCACCATGCCTAGCTAATTTTTGTATGTAAAGATGGGGTTTCACCGTGTTGGCTGGATTGGTTTTTATTTTATTTTTTTTAGATGGGGTTTCACCATGTTGGTCAGGCAGGTCTTGAACTCCTGACCTCAGGTGATCTGCCTGCCTTGGCCTCCAAAGTGCTTGGATTATAGGTGTGAGCCACCACAGCCAGCCATTGGTTTTAATCTCTTGTCACCCACCTTGGCCTCCCAAAGTGTTGGGATTACAGGTGTAAGCCATCCCACCTGGCTGGAATTCATTTTATATAGAGAAAAGGTTGAAGAAAGCAGAAACAATGAAGAAGCAGGTTGCTCAGTTCAAAGTTAGTATCCTTGGAAGTTGGAGACAGGGAGAATAAAATAGAAAAATCACTAGTTAACTTCAGGTTACATTAGGCTACCTTTTTTGTGTACGCATTAAAGTAGAAGGAGCCCGGTGTGGTGGCTCACGCTTGTAATCCCAGCACTTTGGAAAGCCAAGGCGGGTGGATCACCTGAGGTCCTGAGTTCGAGACCGGCCTGGCCAATATGGTAAAACCCCATCTCTACTAAAAATATAAAAATTGCCCAAGTGTGGTGGTGCATGCCTGTAATCCCAGCTACTTGGGAGGCTGAGGCAGGGGAATTGCTTGAACCTGGGAAGCAGAGGTTGCAGTGAGCTGAGATCATGCCACTGCACTCCAGCCTGAGTGAAGGAGACTCCATCTCCAAATAAATAAATAAATAAAGCAGAGGGACGTTAACTATCAAGTTTATTCAAGATTGAAACTGCCCTGTTAGGGAATTTGGCTGTTACTTCTTTTTTCTAATTTCTCAGGAAGTCATATAACAGCTAGTTTTAGTTTGACAGTGTGGACCTTAATCATGGGTGAGTCTGTTTTGATTTTTAGTCTGGTCTGTTAGGGTGTAGTGCAGGAGCTTCATCCAAAATAATGGCTTCCTAGGTGACAGAGTGAGACACTGTCTCTAAAAATCAAACAAACAAACAAAAAACAGTACACTAATAGCAAACTAAAATGTGGTATGGCCAGGCATGGTGGCTCACACGTATAATTCCAGCACTTTGGGAGGCTGAGGCAGGAGGATTACTTAAGCCCAGGAATTTGAGACCAGCCTTGGCAACATGGGGAGAATCTGTCTCTACAAATAATTTTTTTGTTGTTTGTTTTTTCTTTAAGTCTCATGAGATCTGAAACAAATAATTTTTTAAAATTAGCCATACTTGGTGGTGTATGCCTGTTGTCCCAGCTACTTAACAAGCTGAGGCAAGAGTATTGCCTGAGCCCAGGAGGTTGAAGCTACAGTTAGCTGTGAGTATGCCACTGTACTCCTGCCTGAATGACAAAGACCCTGTCCGGTTTGGAAAAAAAAACTTCTTTTTTTTTTTTTTTGAAACAGGGTCTTTCTGTGTCACCCAGGCTGGAGTACGGTGGCATGATTTCGGCTCACTGCAACCTCTGCCTCCCGGGTTCAAGCGATTCTCCTGTCTCAGCCTCCCAAGTAGCTGGGATTACAGGTGCTCGCCACTACACCTGGCTAATTTTTGTATTTCTAGTACAGATGGGGTTTCACAATGTTAGTCAGGCTGGTCTCGAACTCCTGACCTCAGTTGATCCACCCACCTCGGCCTCCGAAAATGCTGGGCTCACAGGCATAAGCCACTGCACCTGGCCTTTTTTTTTTTTTTTTTTTTTTGTTTGTTAACTGTTCTAGTGTTTCAGAAATTCAAATTTTAAGGTAGTTGAATGCATCAATCTATTCTTTTATGGATAGTCCTTATTGTGTCAAAAATATATTTTCTTCTGAGAATGATTTTTAATATTTAGCCTTTTATATGTATGTCCCTAATCTGTCTGGAAGTATTTGTTTTCTTTGTAAAGGAATTTTTGTTTTTTCTTCACTTCTGACTTAGTATCATTTTATTTAATAGTCTCTTCTTGGCCGGGCATGGTGGCTCATGCCTGTAATCCCAGAACTTTGGGAGTCTGAGGCAGGCAGATCATCTGAGGTTGGGAGTTTGATACCAGTCTGATCAACATGGAGAAACCCTGTCTCTACTAAAAATACAAAAAATTAGCTGGGAGTGATGGCACATACCTGTAATCTCAGCTACTCAGGAGGCTGAAGCAGGAGAATTGCTTGAACCTCGGAGGCTTAGGTTGCGGTGAACCGAGATGACACCATTGCACTCCAGCCTGGGCAAAAGAGTGAAACTCTTTTTCAAAAAAAAAAGAAGATTATAAGAATTTTATATTGAGATATTATCCTAAACTGAATATTTGTTGTTACTCACATCTTTTTAAGCAAACATTAACTGTCTTTTTAAGGCTGGGCACTGTGTTTAACAACTATAATCCTGCCACTTTGAGAGTCCAAGGTGGGAGGATCCCTTGGAGCCAAGACTTTGAGACCAGCCTGGGAAGCAAAGCAAGACCTCCATATCTACAAAAGATTTCGAAAGTTAGCTGGACATGGTGGCACAATGCCGTAATCCCAGCTACTCGAGAGGCTGAGGTGGGAGGATCACTTGAGCCCAGGAGTTTGAGGCTGCAGTGAGCTACTACGGCACTCCAGCCTGGGTGACAGAGTGAGACTCTCTTTATTTAAGGAAATAAAGTATCTTTTTATATATATATTTTTCAATGTAATAAATATCACAATCTCTTTTTTTTTTTTTTTTTTTTGAGACAAGGTATTGCTCTGTCACCCAGGTGCGATCTTGGCTCCGCCTCCCAGCTTCAAGAGATTTTCTTGTCTTAGCTTCCTGAGTAGCTACTTATAGATGTCCAACACCATGCCCAGCTAATTTTTGTTCTTTTTTGTTTTTTTTGAGATGGAATCTCGCTCTGTTGCCCAGGCTGGAGTGCAATAGCATGACCTCGGTTCACTGCAACCTCCGCTTCCCAGGTTCTTGTAATTCTCCTGCCTCAGTCTCCCAAGTAGCTGAGAATACAGGCACAGGCCGCCACGCCCAGCTAATTTTTTTGTATTTTAGTAGAGATGGGGGTTTCACCATATTGGCCAGGCTGGTCTTGATCTCCTGATCTTGTGATCCGCCTGCCTCCCAAAGTGCTGGGATTACAGGCTTGAGCCACTGTGCCTGGCCATCTTTTTCTTTCTTTTTTTTTTTTTTTTCCAGATGGAGTCTTGCTCTTTCATGCTGCAGTGCCGTAGCATGATCTCAGCTCACTGCAACCTCCCCTTCCCGGTGTCAAGCCATTCTCCTGTCTCAGCCTCCCAAGTAACTGGGATTACAAGCATGTGCCACTGCGCCTGGCTAATTTTTGTATTTTTAGTAGAGACGGGGTTTCACCATTTTGGTCAGGGTGGTCTTGAACTTCTGGTCTCAAGCGATCCACCCACCTGGGCCTCTCAAAGTGCTGGGAATACAGGCGTGAGCCACTGCACCTGGCCAATTCAATAAACATCACAATATCTTGAGTAATCATTAGTTGGGAGGACTGCTTGATTTTCATATTTATTAATAAACATCCTTAATGGTTCTATTAAAATCATGTAATGTTTAACAAGCATTACCTGCATATTGTTTTTATTAGATTCTCTGTGTTGTGTGAACCAACGTAAATGCTTCTCTTATGGTCACAATTCTTCCTTGAAGACAAACTTAGATACTGAATTGAAATAACAATGCTTTTTCACTTCTGAATTTTTTGCCTGTATGTTACATTATCACTATCATTGTTATTTTAAATGTAAGTTGTTACATTTCCTTTAATTAATAAGTATGAGTGGCCAGGCATTGGCTCATGCCGGTAATCGTAGCACTTTGGGAGGCCGAGGCGGGTGGGGAGGATCACGAGGTCAGGAGATCGAGACCATCCTGGCTAACACAGTGAAACCCTGTCTCTACTAAAAATACAAAAAATTAGCCAGGCATGGTGGCACACACCTGTAGTCCCAGCTAATCGGGAGCCTGAGGCAGGAGAATCGCTTGAATCCGGGAGCCAAGATCGCGCCATTGCACTCTAGCCTGGGCAACAGAGCCAGATTCCTTCTCAAAAAAAAAAAAAAAAAGTCATTCATGTAGGCTTGCATATGAAAGAAATAAAGAAAAAAAAATTTTTAAATCATGAATTTAATTTTTCTCATGTGAAACCTTGGAAAACTTTAGTTTTCTTCATATATAAAGTGGCATTATATTAACTGCCTACTTCAGTGCTGTAAACTGCAGTGGTGTGTGAAAACCAAAGCCATAATTTTTTGTTGGTAATTTTGTTGTCTTTAGGTTATTTGTATACACAAATGTTTTTATTTTAGATTAATCCAAACATTAGAAACTAGGAAATGTGGTTATTATATAAGAATGGTATCTTTGTCACAGCTCATGTTCTGTTCAGCATCCTGATGAATTTTTTTTTTTGTTTTCCAGGTGTTTCATTTTTCACTTTTGGTACTTTAAAGAGTGTTGGGCTTTCCCATGCCCCTACCCTTCTTGGCAGACCTTCATCAGACAATCCCAATGTCTTAGTTTTGAAAACTCACATAAACTTACTTTGTGGTGGTGTTGCTGGAGCAATAGCACAGACAATATCGTAAGTTTATTCACCAACTTAATTCAGTCAAATTACAATTACCCAATCCTGATTTTCAACATGGATTAATCATTTATTTTTCTAATAGATTATTCAAAAAGAGGATCCCTTGTAAAATATAAGTATTAACTTAATACTTTTAGATGTGTATGCACTTTAAGCATATTACAAATAATTGCAAGTTTGGATGCAGTAGTGCTGTCTGTTGTCCCAGCTACTTGGGGACTGTGGTAGGAGGATTGCTTGAGCCCAGGAGTTTGAGACCAGTCTGGGAGACATAGTGAGACTCTGTTCCTAAGGAAAAAAAAGAGGCCAGGCGCGGTGGCTCACACCTGTAATCCCAGCACTTTCGGAGCTCAAGGCAGGCAGATCACTGGGCCAAGAGATTGAGACCACCTTGGCCAACATGGTGAAACCCTGTCTCTACTAAAAATACAAAAATTAGGTGGGTGTGGTGGCGGGCGCCTGAAATCCCAGCTACTTGGATGCTGAGGGAGTGAATTGCTTGAACCCTGGAGGTGGAGGTTGCAGTGAACCAAGATTGCACCACTGCGCTCCAGCCTGGGCAACAGAGCAAGACTCCCTCTCAAAAAAAGATGCCATTTGTATATTGTGTATTTAACTTTAGGGAATGCCAACATGAAATGCAATTATCTGTATTATTAGTTTTAGTCCTTAAGGAAAATTTTGTATTGGTCTGCTATGTTCAAGGGGACTTGCTGCATAACCTTAGAACAGTTCTCAACGGGGAGTGATTTTATTGCCAGTGGACATTTGTTAATGTCTAGAGGCATTTTTGGTTGTCACAGCTGGCAGAGTGCTACTGGCATCTAGTGGGCAGAGGTCAGGGATTCGCTTAAACATCTGCAGTGCACAGGACAGGTCCCCACAACCAAGGATGATCCAGCCCAAAATGTCAATAGTGCCAATATTGAGAAACCCTATATTAGCATTCAACAATGAAAAGCAACCATTTTGTTTCTTCAGGAAGTGGCATTTAATTTGGCTTTTAGGAATGAACAGAACTTGATGGGAGAGAAGAATCCTCTAATGAGAGGGATCACATAAGCAAAGATGTCTCTATTGTTAATTGATTTTATTCATGTGCCTGTATCCTGACTCCTAGGTTAGAGAGAACAATAAGAACAGTAAGACATTATTTCTTTGAGTTTATAGGGCTCTGTACTCAATAGTTGTTGAGTAGAAAACTACAAGTTTTTAATTCTTTATGCCTTTTTTTTCCCCTGCCCCCACCCCCGTCTTTTTTTTCTTTTAGCTACCCATTTGATGTAACTCGTCGGCGAATGCAGTTAGGAACTGTTCTGCCAGAATTTGAAAAGTGCCTGTAAGTTCATCATACGCCATTGCTCATTTTCTTTAGGAAATGTAACATTAAAGTCAGTCGGAGATAGGACTCTAGTTTGACCAATAGTCTGTATCTTCCATTTTCTCTCCCAAAGTTTATTGTTTATTTTGGTAACTTTATAAGATTACAATCAGGGTCTTTTTTTTTTTTTTTTTTTTTTTTTGAGATGTAGTCTTACTTGGTTGCCCAGGGTGGAGTGCAGTGGTGTGGTATTGGCTAACTGCAACCTCCACCTCCCAGTTCAAGTGATTCTCCTGCCTCAGCCTCCCAGGTAGCTGGGATTACAGCTAGTGGATTACACCCACTACCACGCCTGGCTAATTTTTGTATTTTTAGTAGAGACAAGATTTCACCATGTTGGCCAGGCTGGTCTCAAACACCTGACCTCAAGTGATCTGCCTGCTTCGGCTTACCAAAGTGTTGTGATTACAGGTATGAGCCACCTTGCCTGGCCTACAGTCAGGTTCTAATCCTCCTGTTAAAATTTAATTTAGGGCTGGACACCATAGCTCACGCCTGCAATCCCAGCACTTTGGGAAGCCAAGGAAGGCAAATCACCTGAGGTCAGGAATTTGAGACCAGCCTGGCCAACATGGTGAAATACATCTATACTGAAAATATAAAAATTAGCCAGATGTGGTGGTGGGCACCTGTAATGCTAGCTACTAGGGAGGCAGAGGTTGCAGTGAGCCAAGATGGTGCCACTGCATTCCAGCCTGGGCAACAGAGTGAGACTCTGTCTCAAAGAACAAAAAAAACAGCTGGGTGCCGTGGCTCACACCTGTAATACCAGCAGTTTGGGAGGCCGAGGCAGGGCGGATCACAAAGTCAAGAGATCAAGACCATCCTGACCAACATGGTGAAACCATGTCTCTACTAAAAATACAAAAATTAGGCCGGGTGCGGTGGCTCAAGCCTGTAATCCCAGCACTTTGGGATGGCCGAGGCGGGTGGATCACGAGGTCAAGAGATCGAGACCACCCTGGTCAACATGGTGAAACCCCGTCTCTATTAAAAAAATACAAAAAATTAGCTGGGCATGGTGGCACGTGCCTGTAATCCCAGCTACTCAGGAGGCTGAGGCAGGAGAATTGCCTGAACCCAGGAGGCGGAGGTTGCGGTGAGCCGAGATTGCGCCATTGCACTCCAGCCTGGGTAACAAGAGCAAAACTCCATCTTAAAAAAACAAACAAACAAACAAAAATTAGTTGGGCATGGTGGCGCGTACGTGTATCCCAGCTACTCGGGAGCTGAGGCAGGAGAATCACTTGAACCGGGTGGTGGGGGTTAAAGTGAGCCGATCGTACCACTGCACTCCAGCCTGGCTACAGAGCAAGACTCCGTCTCAATTAAAGAAAGAAATAGGCCGGGCGCGGTGGCTCAAGCCTGTAATCCCAGCACTTTGGGAGGCCGAGGCGGGTGGATCACGAGGTCAAGAGATCAAGACCATCCTGGTCAACATGGTGAAACCCCGTCTCTACTAAAAATACAAAAAATTAGCTGGGCATGGTGGCGCGTGCCTGTAGTCCCAGCTACTCAGGAGGCTGAGGCAGGAGAATTGCCTGAACCCAGGAGGCGGAGGTTGCAGTGAGCCGAGATCGCGCCATTGCACTCCAGCCTGGGTAACAAGAGCGAAACTCCGTCTCAAAAAAACAAAAGAAAAAATAAAAAAAAGAAATATTACTCAGGAGGCTGAGGCAGGAGAATTGCTTGAATCCAGGAAGTGGAAGTTTCAGTGAGCCGAGGTTGTACCACTGTACTCCAGCCTGGGTGACAGAGTGAGACCCTGTCTCAAACAAAACAAAAGAAAAAATATATACGTAATTGTGAAAAATATTTTTTGTTTAACCTTAAATATCTAAAATATCACCTCAACATTTCTCTCTCTCTCTCTCTCTCTGTCTCTCTCTCTCTCGCTCTGTGTGTGTGTATATTTTTTTGTGATGGAGTCTCACTCTGTTACGCAGGCTGGAGTGCAGTAGTATGATCTTGGCTCACTGCAACCTCTGCCTCCTTGGATCAAGTGATTCTCCTGCCTCAGCCTCCTGAGTAGCTGGAATTACAGGTGTGTGCCACTACACCTGGCTAATTTTTGTATTTTTAGTAGAGACGGGGTTTCACCATGTTGGCCAGACTGGTCTCAAATTCCTGACCTCAAGTGATCCACTCATCTCAGCCTCCCAAAGTATTGGGATTACAGGCGTGAGCCACCACACCAGGCCTCAATATATATATATTTTTATACTAAGTATTTGAAATCCAGGATTTGTTTTATATTCATAGCCCATCTTGATTTGGACTGCCACATTTCAAGTGCTCAATAGCCATACGTGGCTAGTGGCTACTGTTATTGTACAGTACAGCTCCAGAGTTTTCTTTGTAGAGATTTAAAACCATTCCATTTGATTGGTGATAAGTTGTCAGGGAAGGAGCAGAACATTTGTTAATGAACTTGGGTTGCCTTGTTCACTGAAAAGATTTTTTTGGGCCAGGGCCATTGCCTCATGCCTGTAGTATCCAGCTACCTGAGAGGCTGAGGTAGGAGGTTCACTTGAGGCCAGGAGTTTGAGACCAGCCTGGAAAACATTGTAAGATCTTGTCTCTAAAAAAATTTTAACTAAAAAAAAAAAAAAAAAATTAGTGAGTCATGGTGATATGTGCCTGTAGTCCCAAGAGGCTGAGGTGGGAGGATTGCTTGTGCCCAGGAGTTAGAGGCTGTTGTGAGCTGTGATTGCCAATGCACTCCAGCCTGGGCAACAAAGTGAGAACATGCCTCTTAAAAAAAAAAAAAAAGATTTTTGAAAAGATTTCAGTTCAGATCGTCTATTGAAAGTAAAAGGCCAAGCCCAAATTATTGGTTTGAAAGGAAAGGAACAATTCTGAAACAGGAACGTCTTCTAGGGGCATGGTGGCTTGTGCCTGTAGTCCCAGCTACTTGGAACTACTTGGCAGGCTGAGGCAGAAGTGCCTCAACCCAGGAAGCGGGAAGTTGCAGTGAACCGAGATCGCGCCACTGCACTCCAGCCTGGGTGACAGAGCAAGACTCTGTCTCAAAAAAAAAAGAAAAAAAGAAAAAAAAAATACAAAAGTTAGCTGGACGTGCTGGCGTGCGCCTGTAGTCCCAGCTACTTGGGAGGCCGAGGCAGGAGAATTGCTGAAACCCGGGAGGCAGAGTTTGCATTGAGCTGAGATCACGGCACTGCACTCCAGCCTGGGTGGCAGAGTGAGACTCTGTCCAGAAAAAAAAAAAAGCTATTCAAGATGGTATTTAAGCTTCTTTAAAAATTGATATGGGCTGGGTGAGGTGGCTCACGCCTGTAACCCCAGCACTTTGGGAGGCTGAGGGGGGCGCAGATCGAGACCATCCTGCCAGCTTGGTGAAACCCTGTCTCTACTAAAATACAAAAGTTAATTGGGCGTGGTGACACATGCCTGTAATCTCAGCTACTCAGGAGGCTGAGGCAGGAGAATTGCTTGAACTTAGGAGATGGAGGCTGCAGTGAGCTGCGATCCTGCCACTGTAATCCATATTCCAGCCTGGGCAACACAGGAGAGTTCATCTCAAAAAAAAAAATTGATATTATGGATCCTGAAATTGTTTCTTCATGATTGGCTATAGAGGTGTCATAATTTAATCATCATTGTCTTTCAGTACCATGCGGGATACTATGAAGTATGTCTATGGACACCATGGAATTCGGAAAGGACTCTATCGTGGTTTATCTCTTAATTACATTCGCTGCGTTCCCTCTCAAGCAGTAGCTTTTACAACATATGAACTTATGAAGCAGTTTTTTCACCTCAACTGAAAAAAAAATCATGGTTTGTTTTTCTTAATACATTCTCAGAGGGCAAAATGAAATATTACTTTAATTGTGGGGGGAACAGTACTTGAATGGGGATAGTTACCCTGTCACAGGAACCACTGGTATTTTAGTACTTGATTATTTTTTCTTTAGTCACAAATCAGAAGTGCTTACCATACTTCTTGATGCCAAACATTATACCTTAGAACACTGAAAAAATATTCTTAAGCTGATGGTGGCTAAACCGCTTTAAAGCTTTATTTGGAAGTAGAACTAGCTTTAAAACGGGGTTCAAGAGGTTGCCATTAACTTTTTCTTGCTGTTCAAACTTTTTTGTTTTTTTCTTTGAGACAGAGTCTTGCTCTGTCGTCCAGGCTGGAGGCAGTGGCATGATCTTGGGTCACTGCATCCTCCACCTCCCTGGTTCAAGCAATTCTCTGCCTCAGCCTCGAAGTAGCTGGGATTACAGGTATCCACCACAACGCTTGGCTAATTTTTTGTATTTTCAGTAGAGATGGGGTTTCACCGTCTTGGCCAGGTTGGTCTTGAAGTCCTGACCTCATGATCTACTCCCTCTCAGCCTCCCAAAGTGCTGGGATTACAGGCGTGAGCCACCCTGCCTGCCTGTTCAAAGTTTTTAATTGTATTCTTGGTTTTTAAAAGACTGACAGTGTTTATTATTATTAAAATAAGCTGGGTTGGTTATGTTGCAGTAGAATAATGAGAACTGAATTTTTAAGTTCTATAAAACAGTCAGCATTGAAGTTTTATTTTCGTTATCTCTCTTCTCACCATTCTGCTCCACTGGATAATAGAGAACGAACTTTTTCCTTCATTTTTTTTTCTTTCATTTTTAAAATAAAATTAAGGTTATATTTAAAAAGTAGCCATGTAGAGACTAAAAAATAAATGAAGAAGCTAGGCACTGTAGCATGGGCATGTGATCCCAGCTACTCCGGAAGCTGAGGTGGGAGGTTCACTTGAGCCCTGGAATTCCATGCTAGCCTGTGCAACATCATGAGACCCCGTTTAATAAATGAATGAATGACTAAGTTTTGCTCAAATGTTATTACTAGGTACTATGAGTGACTTACATGTGTTTTAAAAAGTCAGTGTGTTTCACAGAAACAGAAACAAAAATACTGAATATCTTTGCTCTCAAAAACAAAGTAGCATTACAGATTTGTTTTTGTTAGATGATTTGCTGTATATAAGAATATTTATTTAAGTAGGCTGTGAAATATTTATTAATATAGATGTGAATATCAAAAAATGTTTCTAAGGTATTATGTCATGAGGCATCAACTAGTTCTTCCATGTAAAATAATTTTAGTGCAATATAAAGATGTAGAAATTTAAAATATGATTTGAATTGTTATCCTTTATATTAAGAAAATGGTTTAAAATGTAAGAATTCCATTTATTGTGTTTAGAGTACTTTTTATGATTTATTATAAGCATGGCAGAAATAGGAAGGAAACATTTAAAGTTCTGTCTTCAGAAAGAGTAATTTGTAGAATTGATGTGATTTTCAAGACATTAAAAGGCCAGGCACGGTGGCTTATACCTTTATTCCCAGCACTTTGGGTGGCCGAGTCGGGTGGATCACCTGAGATCAGGAGTTCAAGACCAACATGGTGAAACCCACCTCTACTAAAAATACAAAAATTAGCCAGCATGGTGGCATGTGCCTATAGTCCTAGCTACTTGGGAGGCTGAGACTTGAGTCGGGGAGGTGGAGGTTGCAATGAGCTGAGATCACACCACTGTACTCCAGCCTGGGTGACAGAGTGAGACTCCATCTCAAAAGAAAAAAAAGACATTAGAAAACTAAGTTGAGGCCAGAAGTGTTGGCTCTCGCCTGGAATCCCAGCACTTTGGGAGGCCAAGGCAGGAGGATATCTTGACCCCAGGAGTTCGAAACCAGACTGGGTAACGTAGTAAGACCCCGTCTCTTTCAAACAAATGAAAGAAAACTAAGTTGAAAGTTTTGCTTCAATTTTTATTTCTTTGCATAAAAGGTTTCTTGTCATATCTTGGTAAAAATTTGATGAGCTGGTTTCACTTTGAAAGTCTTTATTTTGGCCGGGCATGGTGGCTCACGCCTGTAATCCAGCATTTTGGGAGGCCGAGGCAGGTGGATCGCCTGAGGTCAGGAGATTGAGACCAGCCTAGCCAACATGGAGAAACCCCATCTCTACTAAAAGTATAAAAATTAGCCCGGCGTACTGGCGGGCACCTGTAATCCCAGCTACTTGGGAGGCTGAGACAGGGAGAATTGCATGAACCCAGGAGGCAGAGGTTGCACTGAGCTGAGACTGTGCCACTGTGCTCCAGTCTGAGCGGCAGAGCCAGACTCTTGTCTCAAAAAAAAAAAAAAAAGAAAGGGCCGGGCGCGGTGGCTCAAGCCTGTAATCCCAGCACTGTGGGAGGCCGAGGCGGGTGGATCACGAGGTCAAGAGATCGAGACCATCCTGGTCAACATGGTGAAACCCCGTCTCTACCAAAAATACAAAAAATTAGCTGGGCATGGTGGCGTGTGCCTGTAATCCCAGCGACTCAGGAGGCTGAGGCAGGAGAATTGCCTGAACCCGGGAGGCGGAGGTTGCGGTGAGCCGAGATTGCGCCATTGCACTCCAGCCTGCGGAACAAGAGCGAAACTCCATTTCAAAAAAAAAAAATTTGTTCTTCAAACCATTTTGTGTAGTTTCATTTCTAGACCACACTGTGGTTAATTATTCTTATTAAATCTTAAGATAATTTAAGTATATAAAATAAGTATTGGGCCAGGCGTGGTGGCTCATGCCTGTAATCCCAGCACTTTGGGAGGCCGAGGTGGGTGGATCACGAGGTCGGGAGATTGAGACCATGCTGGCTAACACAGTGAAACCCCTATCTCTACTAAAAGTACAAAAAATTAGCCAGGCGTGGTGGCACCTGCCTGTGGTCCCAGCTACTCAGGAGGCTGAGGCAGGAAAATTGCTTGAACCCAGGAGGTGGAGGTTGCAGTGAGCTGAGATTGCGCCATTGCAGTCCAGCCTGGGTGACAGAGCAAGACACTGTCTCAAAAAAAAAAAAAAAAAAAAAAAAGCATCTCAGTTATGTTGTCAGTAAAAGGGGATTGCAAATATTTTTTAAATAAAAATTTGCACTCTTATTTCTGTTATAGAATACAAAGGATATTAAAAATTCATTTTATCTATGTGTTAACAATTTCTTTTAACTGTTTACATGTTGAAGCACAGATGCTAAACATAAGTCAGAATGGAAGACTGTTTAAAATAATGACTTTGTTTATATCTGATTTATTTCAGATAGATTACCCAAAGTGCATCTTGCCAGGTTATCTTCCATTTGAAGATTGAGATTTTATGTCTTTTTTGAACTTTATTGTTCCTCTCTTCCAGCTCTCAGTGGGTATAGCTCTCTGGTCTGTATAATGGGACAGTGGTCTGGCCTACAGATTGATAAGTGAGGTTTGCCTCCTAGTTTTCAGTGATTGCCTGTAGAAGATGGAGAAGTTACTGGATATATTTAATAATATCTCATTATATTCTTTTTTTTTTTTTAAATGATAGAGTTTTACTTGGTTGCCAAGCTGGAGGGCAGTGGCGTGATCTTGGCTCACTGTAACCTCCACCTCCGGGGTTCAAACGATTCTCCTTTGTTGTCTTTCTAAGTAACTGAGATTACAGCCATGTGCTACCATGTCTAGCTAAGTTTTATATTTTTCTTTTTTCTTTTCTTTTTTTTTTTTTTTTTGAGACAGAGCCTCACTCTGTTGTGTAGGTTGGAGTGCAGTGGTGTGATCTCAGCTCACTGTAACCGCCGCCTCCTGGATTCTAGTGATTCTCCTGCCTCTAGTCTCCCGAGTAACTGGGATTACAAGCATTCACCACCACGCTCAGCTAATTTTTGTATTTTTAGTAGAGCCAGGTTTCGCCATGTTGGCCAGGCTGGTCTTGAATACCTGACCTCAAGTGATCTGCCCACCTTGGCTTCCCAAAATGCTGAGATTACAGGCATGAGTTCGTGCACCTGGCCTCGTTCCATTCTTCACCATGCTACTGACCATTCATTTACTTAGCACCACTTGTGTGCCAGATGTTGTGTCAGCATTATGGAGGACTTCCCTTGGGAAGCTTGTTAGCTGTACTTGCAATCTGATTGGATTCCCAAATTAGGATATAACACCAGATATTTCCCAAATAGAGTATGCGCCACACTTTATGATAACTGCCTGTTTACCAATGTTTCTACCTCTCTCCATCTGGTTTTTTCAAGGACAGGGAACATAGGGTGTGTGGTGTCACTGTGGTACTCAGTGATGTTTACTGTTGGGAAGACGGAAGGGTCAGTCCCTGTTTTTGGAGACTTTATGTTCTAGCAGGCAGAAATGAAGCACAAATAGTTCAAGAAATAAACAATTTAGAAATAAAGTCGCTGGGTGCAGTGATGCATGCCTGTAGTCTCAGCTACTCGGGAGGCTGAGGTGGGAGGATCGCTTGAGCCCAGGAGTTCTGGGCTGTAGTGCACTATGCCGATTGGGTGTCTGCACTAAGTTCGGCATCAATATGGTGACCTCCTGGGAGTGAGGGACCACCAGGTTGCCTAAGGAGGGGGAACCGGCCCAGATCAGAAATGATCAGCACTCCTGTGCTGATCAGTAGTGGGATCGTGCCTGTGAATAGTCACTGCACTTCGGCCTGGGCAACATAGCGAGACCCCATCTCTATTAAAAAAAAAAAAAAGAAAAAAGAAATAAAGTCATATACAATAAAATATTCTTTACAGAAAAAAAACCCAGAAAAGTAATTTGGTTTGCTAATTTGCCAGAATGAGTGGCAAATATATAATAAAACCTATGAATAGTTTTTATGGCTGGGTGAAGTGGCTCAGGTCTGTAATTCTAGCCCTTTGGGAGGCTGACTGGGGAGGATCACTTGAGCCTAGGCATTTGAGCCTAGCCTGGGCAATGTTCCAAAACTCTGTCTCTTTTTTTTTTTTTTTTTTTTTTTAATAAATATAAGATGGTTTTTCACCCTGTTGGTCAGGCTGGTGAAGTCCTCCCCCAGGTGATCCGCCCGCCTTGGCCTCCAAAGTAATTGGATTCCAGTGTGAGCCACCACCCCCCGCCTCTTTTTTTTTTTTTTTTTATTTGAGACGGAGTCTTGCTCTGTCGCCAGGCAATCTCAGCTCACTGCAACCTCTGTCTCCAGGGTTCAAGTGGTTCTCCTGCCTCAGCCTCCAGAGTAGCTGGGATTACAGGCTCAAATTCCCATGGCCAGCTAATTTTTGTATTTTTAGTAGAGATGGGATTTCACCATGTTGGCCAGGATGGTCTTGATCTCTTGACCTCGTGATCTGCCCACCTTGGCCTCCCAAAGTGCTGGGATTACAGGAGTGAGCCAGGCGCCTGACTCATTTTTTTATATAAAAAATGTTTTTTAAAATCCTATGTACAATTATTTATTTTTTCCCAAGGATTATTCCCAAGCTTTTATACAATTAATGCATTCCCTTGCAGAGTTGGATCAGTAACACCTGACACACTTATAGATCAGGCATACACTTTACACAATTCCTCTCATATGTTCTTTGAATCCCAGATACCATATTGGGCACTAGAAACCGGTGATAAATAATTACAGTTACGTATATTTCCTGAAGAATTATGTGCCATTCCTTGTTTTAAGCACCTTTGATGCCTTAACTCAATCTCTATTACAATACTATGATATGAGTACTATTTAATATTTCTTTTGACAGATGGGAATAATCGAGGCCTAGGGAGATTAAATTACTTGTCCAGGTTCATGTAAGTAATGGATCTAGGATTCAAATTCAGCCAGTCTGAATCTGGAGCATATTCTTTTAGCTACAGTGCTATACTCTAATACTGTAATATGCTGTTCAGATGAAACTATAACATGTCATTAAATTTGAACATGTCAATAAACATACCAAGCAATAAAATAATTACAGCTTGTGGAAAGTGCTTATGAAAACGGTAAATAAGCTACTTGAGAATGATCAGGGAAAGGTTTCTTTGATGTGCTATATATACTTTCAGTAGACACATGGAGGATAAAAAGGAAACAGCAATGCAAAGAGTTCTGGGAAAAGACTGGCTCAGGTGAAGAGAATGCCAGGTACAAAAACCCTGGAACAGGTGAAAGTTTGGTTTGACTAGGAATTGCCAGAAGGCCGATGTGACTGAAGTATTGTGTGTAAAGGAGTAGCAACAAATGGGGTTAAAGAAGTAGACAAAGGCCAGATCATGTAACTGTCTATAGGATATAGTAATGGTTTCGTCTTTTATTCTAAATGCAATGGGAAGGCCAGGTGTGGTGACTCATGCCTGCAATCCCAGTACTTTGGGAGGCTGAAGCAGGCAGATTATCTGAGATCAGGAGTTTGATACCAGCCTGGCCAACATGGTGAAACCCCGTTTCTACTAAAAATACAAAAATTAGCTGATATGTTGGTGCACACCTATAAGCCCGGCTACTCGGGTGGCTGAGGCAGGATAATCTCTTGAAGCTTGGAGGCAGAGTTTGCAGTGAGCCAAGATCACACTACTACACTCCAGTCTGGCGACACAGTGAGACTCCATCTCAAAAAAAAAAAAAGAAAAAAAAAATGTACATGGGAAACTATTGAAGGTTTTCAGCTGGTGAGTATCATTGTGTGATTATCTTTTTACAACGATCACTCTGCTTTTTCAATGATGGTTTGCAGTTAAAACAGAAATAAAAATAAAGCCGGGCGCGGTGGCTCAAGCCTATAATCCCAGCACTTTGGGAGGCCGAGGCGGGTGGATCACGAGGTCAAGAGATCGAGACCATCCTGGTCAACACGGTGAAACCCCGTCTCTACTAAAAATAAAAAAAATTAGCTGGGCATGGTGGCGCATGCTTGTAATCCCAGCTACTCAGGAGGCTGAGGCAGGAGAATTGCCTGAACTCAGGAGGTGGAGGTTGCGGTGAGCCGAGATCGCGCCATTGCACTCCAGCCTGGGTAACAAGAGCGAAACTCCGTCCCAAAAAAAAAAAAAAAAAAAAAAAAAAGAAATAAAAATAAAAAAGACAATAGAGAAACCCTAAATCTCAAGAATGAGAAAGAGGACATCACTGGATCCCACTGATGTTTAAAAGACAGGCTGGATGTGGAGGCTCACGCTTGTAATCCCAGCACTCTTGGAGGCCAAGGCGGGTGGATCATGAGGTGAAGAAATCGAGACCATCCTGGTCAACATGGTGACACCCCATCTCGACTAAAAATACAAAAATTAGCTGGGTATGGTGGCAGGCACCTGTAGTCCCAGCTCCTTGGAAGGGACTAGCACTTGAACCTGGGAATCGGAGGTTTCGGTGAGCTGAGATTGCACCGCTGCTCTCCAGCCTGGCCACAGAGCGAGACTCCACAAACAAAAAAGATAATGGGGGCTGAGCATGTGTGGTGGCTTATGCCTGTAATCCCAGAATTTTGGGAGGGGATTACAGGCATGGTTGTTCATGCCTGTAATCCCAGCACTTTGGGAGGCCAAAGTGGGAGGATCACTTGAGCCCAAGATTTTGAGACCATTCCAAGCAACAATGAGACCCTGTGTCTGTTTTTAAAAATAAACCTGGGCATAGTGGTGTTCACCTGTAGTCTCAGCTACTTGGGAGGCTGAGGTAGGAGGATTAACAGTCTAGGGAGGTCAAGGCTGCAGTGAGCTGTGATCATAGTACTGCACTCCAGCCTGGGTGACAGAGTGAAACCCTGTCTCAAAAAATTAACTAAAAAGTAACTGAATTCATCATAAAAAGCCTTTGCAGAACGAAAACTCCAGGGCTAGGTAGTGAATTCTACTAAATAGCTAAGGAATAATTTCACAAACTTCTAGAAATTAGAAGAGAGAGCATTCCCAACTCCTTTTATGATGCCAGTATAACCCTGATACCCAAACCTGACAATGATGTTACTAAAAAGAAAATTACAGATCTGTATCCTTCAAGAACATAGATGAGCCGGGTGTGGTTCATGCCCATAATCCCAGCACTTTGGGAGACTGAGTTGAGAGGATTGCTAGGAGTTCAAGACCAGCTTGGGCAACACAGCAAGAGCTTGTGGCTAGTAAAAATCAGAATTAGCTGTGTGTGATGGCATATTCCTGTAGTCTCAGCTACTTTAGAGGCTGATAGGGGAGAATCACTTGAGCCCGGCCGATGGAGGCTGCAGTGAGCTGTGATTGTGCCACTGCCCTACAACCTGGGTGACAGAGCAAGATCCTGTCTCAAAAAACAAACACTAAACAACGAAAAAACCAACTTAGATGGAAAAGTTCTTAACAGCAAATCAAATCCAGCAATACATAAAACATTTATTATGTCATGACCAATTTGGGTTTGTCCTAGGAATGCAAAGTTTTTTTTAACATTGTAAAATCAGTGGTAAAGCTTCTCATAATAACAGAATAAAGGAGAAAAACCATACAGTCCTTCCATAGATGCAATAGCTGCTTGACAAAATCTAGCACTGATTCATTATCAGAGTGATTCATACTTAGAATAGAAGGATTCTTCTTCCTCAATCTAATAGAGGAAATTTTGGCAGATTATACTTTTATACTTTCCAACAATGACCACAACACATCCCAATTCACATTCATATGCTTTTTTTTTTTTTTTTTTTTGAGATGGAATGTCACTGTTGCCCAGACTGGAGTGCAGTGGCATGATCTTGGCTCACTGTAACCTCTGCCTCCTGGGTTCAAGCGAATCTCCTACCTCAGCCTCCCAAGTAGCTGGGATCACAGGCATGCACCACCATGCTTGGCTAATTTTTGTATTTTTAGTAGAGATGGGATTTCACCATGTTCGCCAGGCTCGTCTCAAACTCCTCACCTCAGGTGATCCACCTGCCTTGGCCTCCCAAAGTGATGAGATTGTAGGTGTGAGCCACCAGGCCCCGTATGCTTTTCTTGTGTGTCATTGACATCCCATCAAGAGGTAGGAATTGTATTCCCTTCCCTTGTATCTGGCTGAGTGGGCCTGTGACTACCGTGGAAGTGATGTTGTGTCACTTGGCAAAGCCACGTCATAAAGCTAAAACAAGTTCCATGTGGTCTTGGAACACTTGCTCTTGGAATCCAGATACTATGCTGTGAGAAAGCCAAGCAGCCCCTACAGAGGAATTACCAACTTTTTAGCCATCTGAGTATATCATCTTCAAATCGGATCTTTCAGCCCTTACTAATGCTGTGTGGAACAGACAAACCTTCCCCACAGAATCCTGCCTAAATTGCAGATTCATAAGCTAAATAAATGATTGTTACTGTAAGCCACCAAGTTTTTGAGTTTAGTTGTGTTCTTTAGTGTTGCTTTTGTTTTTATATAGCATTGGATAAAGGGATCCATAAAAAACCTACAGCTAGCATCATACTTAATGCTGAAATAGTGAATGTTGCTGTGCACGGGCAGCACTTTGGGAGGATGAGGTGGGCGGATCACAAGGTTAGGAGTTCGAGACCAGCCTGGCTAATATGGTGAAACCCCGTTTCTACTAGAAATAGAAAAATTAGCCAGGCATGGTGGCATGTGCCTGTAGTCCCAGCTACTTGGGAGGCTGAGGCTGGAGAATTGCTTGAACCTAGCAGGCAGGGGTTGCAGTGAGCCGAGATCTCGCCACTGCACTCCAGCCTGGGTAACAGAGACTCCGTCTCAAAAAAAAAAAAAAAAAGAAAAACGTTTTGTAGATTTAATCATGGCATGATCAAGGAGTTCCTATCTGACAGTTTCTATATTCTCAATGAATTTTTCTGAAGAAAAGGGGAGAAGCTGTTTTCCAGAGAGTGCACAATTCTGAAGGCTAACAAGGAATGCCTGGTTTTGGGCAACTACAAATGGTTTTTTTTGTTTGTTTGTTTGTTTGTTTTTTTTTTTTTTTTTGGGTGAGACGTTTTTTTGCTCTTGTTACCCAGGCTGGAGTGCAATGGCGCGATCTCGGCTCACTGCAACCTCCGCCTCCTGGGTTCGGGCAATTCTCCTGCCTCAGCCTCCTGAGTAGCTGGGACTACAGACACGCGCCACCATGCCCAGCTAATTTTTTTTTTTGTAGTTTTAGTAGAGACTGGGTTTCACTATGTTGACCAGGATGGTCTCGATCTCTTGACCTTGTGATCCACCTGCCTTGGCCTCCCAAAGTGCTGGGATTACAGGTTTGAGCCACCGCGCCCGGCCCTGCAAATGGTTTTGTTGAAACTAAGCATGTGTCGGACACAGGTTGGAGTGTAAAGAGAGAAGGCAGGAGCGTTCAGTCTGCGTCAGATATGAAGACTCCCTGTATACCCAGTCCTAAGCATGGGAGCTTAGGCGGGGACCAGGGCCCTGCTGCTCAGGTGAGGCGCCCCAAGTGGACCGCGCCGGCGCGGGAGGGGTGGCCTGGCGCAGGTCTTTTGACCTCGGTGGATTGGCGCATGCGCAAGATGTGCGCAAACTCGCGCCTTTTTCCCTTTTCCGAGTTTGCTGCGTTGTCCCCGTTTCCGCTAGTTTTCCTGGCTACAGTTTGCTGTCCCTGTGTCCAGGATGGAGCCCCTGGACGAACTGGAGCTGCTGATGGAGAAGAGTTTTGGGGAGGAGGCTGCGCTGCCGGCGGAGCTGTGAGCGGAGCCGGGGGAGGGTTTGGGAACAAAGCGCGAGATTTGAAAGAAGGAGCGGGAGAGGCCGCTCTCACGCCGCCCCAGACTGACCCGGCCCGGGGCCCAGGGACCCCGCGCAGGTCCCCGGGCACCCGATGAGTCTCCGGAGCCAGGGCCCGCGTCTCAAGGTGTTCTTTAGGGCCACAGTCAGCTAGAGCCTGGACTCTCCCTCGCCCAGGAGTTTATTCTTTCCCTTGATATCACCGCTTTCCCTGATTTGGGGAGTTTCAGCCACTGAAATGTCTTTATGATAGGAAATTACAACCGCCCTAGGCTTTCCTGGATTTTAGTTGGATTAATTTATCCTTGGGAGAACTCTGCACCCTCAGCATGGTGTATATAAATCTTCAGAGGAATTTAACCACGGTCATAATGTGGAATTATTTTCAATGTTATAGCAATAATGTTAATTAGCGTTGAGGGACTTTTGCGTTTGGGCTTTTGATCAGAAATATCTTTTGAGAAACATCTTTAAGGCATCATAACCAATCTTGGGAAATTCATGGCCTGAGACTAGGTGGAGTATTTGAGTAAAGCGTTTGCAAAACAATAGAATCTACAGTCCAGTAACAAAAGATAACTTATATGATAACGTGAAAGGCTTTTGGTGTTATCACTGGAGAGATAATGACTGACACTGGACCCTCCTTTGGTCCCTCACTGATGCCGCAGTCAAACAAGGAAGGTTTAAGAGGATTTAACATTTACTTAATAGGAGAAGGGCTGTTTTCTTTTTACTTTTTTTGAGAACGACTCTCACTCTGTAACCCAGGCTGGAGTGCAATGGCGCGATCTTGGCTCACTGCAACCTCTGCCTCCTGGGTTCAAGCGATTCTCCTGCCTCAGCCTCCCGCATAGCTGGGATTACAGGCGCCCGCCTACCCCTGGCTAATTTTTGTATTTGTAGTAGAGGCGGGGTTTCACCATGTTGAGTCAGGCTGGTCTCGAACTACTGAACTCAGGTGATCCGCCTGCTTTGGCCTCCCAAAGTGCTGGGATTACAGGCGTGAGCCACCGCGCCTGGCCGAAAAGGGCTGTTTTCTTGAGGAGAGATTATTTTGCATAATTTTAGACAGCTTTGACCTATGGATGAAAGTACTGAGAAATTGACTTGCCCACTATAAATGTAAATACGAAGGTTCCGACTTACTCTGTGAAGAATTTAGCTAATTCGATAGGTATTATGCTTACTTTCTGTCCAGTGAGATTTTATCAAAAGATTTCCGGCATTACATTAGCAGGTTGGACCAAATGATTTCTTTTTTTTTTTTTGGGACGGAGTTTCGCTGTTGTTACCCAGGCTGGAGTGCAATGGCGCGATCTCGGCTCACCGCAACCTCTGCCTCCTGGGTTCAGGCAATTCTGCCTCAGCCTCCTGGGTAGCTGGGATTACAGGCACGCGCCACCTTGCCCAGCTAATTTTTTTTGTATTTTTAGTAGAGACGGGGTTTCACCGTGTTGACCAGGATGGTCTCGATCTCTTGACCTCGTGATCCACCCGCCTCGGCCTCCCAAAGTGCTGGGATTACAGGCTTGAGCCACCGCACCCGGCCCCAAATGATTTCTAAGTACAATTCTGTGGCTCATGGTAGAACTTCAGCAAACCATGGACACTACATTTTTCCATAACATGAGTCTCATATTTACAAAAAGGATCATGTCCAACACATCTGCTTTTACTTGTACTTTGGGAAGGTTTGCACCAGTGGTAGAAATTTCTTGTTTAGGCCGGGCGCGGTGGCTCAAGCCTGTAATCCCAGCACTTTGGGAGGCCGAGGCGGGTGGACCACGAGGTCAAGAGATCGAGACCATCCTGGTCAACATAGTGAAACCCCGTCTCTACTAAAAATACAAAAAATCAGCTGGGCATGGTGGCGCGTGCCTGTAGTCCCAGCTACTCAGGAGACTGAGGCAGGAGAATTGCCTCAACCCAGGAGTCGGAGGTTGCGGTGAGCCGAGATCGTGCCATTGCACTCCAGCCTGGGTAACAAGAGCGAAACTCCGTCTCAAAAAAAAAAAAAGAAATTTCTTGTTTAATATTATCCAATTTATACTTTCTTCTTTTTTTCCTTTTATGCCCCAGAAATGGGATCTTTTTCTGTCGCTCAGGAAGGGGTGCAGTAGCATGATCATATCTCACTGCAGCCTCAAACTCCTGGTGCTCAAGCACCTCAGCCTCTTGAGTAGCTGGGACTTATAGGCGTGCACCGTCATCCTGGGCTTCCAGTTTATTCTTTTTTTTTTTTTTTTTCTTTTTTTGAGACGGAGTTTCACTCATGTTACCCAGGCTGGAGTGCAATGGCGCGATCTCGGCTCACCGCAACCTCCGCCTCCTGGGTTCAGGCAATTCTCCTGCCTCAGCCTCCTGAGTAGCTGGGACTACAGGCATGCGCCACCATGCCCAGCTCATTTTTTGTAGTTTTAGTAGAGACGGGGTTTCACCATGTTGACCAGGATGGTCTCGATCTCTTGACCTCGTGATCCACCCGCCTCGGCCTCCCAAAGTGCTGGGATTACAGGCTTGAGCCACCGCGCCCGGCCTTCCAGTTTATTCTTAATCCTCATTGCACTGGTGTCCCACAGAACTCCTTACAGAAATTAAAATAGAAAATCTCATCCCATGAGCATATTTTAAATGGCATTACTTCTGGGAAGTATTTTTTTTTTTAGATTTTTTTTTTCTTTTCAGCAACGGATGAATAAAGTACACTGACAGGGGAGTTTTTATAATAGAAATTCTTCTGTGTTTTTGCTCTATTAATTTTACCTATTTTGGCTAAATGTTATTGCAATAGGTTTTCAGAAGAAAGAAACCTAGAAAACTGGAATATTGGTTTGTAGATAAAACAGATTGGATGACTTCTTATTTCATGGTTGTGCTCAAATAATTTTGTATGTGTGTGCTTTAGATTTCAGAAGAAAGTGGTAGCTTCCTTTCCTAGAACGGCTCTGAGCCGAGGAATGGATAACCGGTACCTGGTGTTGGCAATCAGTACTGTACAGAACAAAGAGGGAAACTGTGAAAAGCACCTGGTCATCACTGCTTCTCAGTCGCTAGAAAATAAAGAACTATGCATCCTTAGGAATGACTGGTAATTTTTATGCAACTTTGAGCACCAATTTGAGTCTTAAGGGTACCATCATAAAACTCATCAAATGGCTTCTGTGAATGTTACTATAATTTAATTGTTTAAAAGAGAGTAGATTTGATCCTAGCCTAATTCTGCATGAAAATTGTTTCTATTACTCTTGTATCTCAAGTCTCGTATTCCAAAAATTGACTTTTGTTGTCATTTGAAAATCATTTACAAAGTACATGAGTACTTCCTATTTCCCAATACATTCTAATATTGCAGTTTAAACTCATGTTAGTTTTAACTAAGAGCAAAATTAATTAAAACATATGAACGTTCTTAGGCTTTAGATTTTTCTACTTAAAGTGTGATATGTGAGGTAGATGCAGAAAAGCTAGAGGTCTAACTTTGGCGCTTTGTCTAGGCTGTTAGTTTGAACTAATTCAATATGATTTTATTATTGCTACACTGGGTTTGGCTTCATGCTTCAAGCCTTGTAGAAGCTGTAGATTTCCTGTAAGTCTTAAGACTAAATTAATTATTAAAACAACCCAATTCATAATTGGAGCTATTGTATTACATTAGCAAAGATTTGATAGCTTTTGCAATAGACCTTGCTGTCACTAAGTCCTTTTTCTCTTTGGGATTTATAGAAGATCTTTGACTTTTCTTACATGTATTTGACACATAGTTAAGGAGTAGAGTGACTAGGAGCTGATTTAGAAGACTGTATCCTAGGCTGGGCATGGTGGCTCATGCCTTTAATCCCAGCACTTTGGGAGGATGAGGCGGGTGGATCACCTGAGTCAGGAGTTCGAGACCAGCCTGGCCAACTTGGTAAAATCCCGTCTCTACTAAAAAAATACAAAAATTAGCTGGGCATGGTGGCACATGCCTGTAGTCCCAGCTGCTCGGGACGTCGAGGCAGAAGAATTGCCTGAACCCAGGAGGCGGAGGTTGCGGTGAGCCGAGATAGTGCCATTGCACTCCAGCCTGGGTAACAAGAGCAAAACTCCGTCTCAAAAAAAAAAAAAAAAAGACCCAGAAATTTAGAAATGATTTTTTTCTTTTTTTTCTTCAGGTAAAATACTTATTTATTTTTTTTGAAGCCTCCTAAATATATATACCATATATATGATATATGTATAGTATATGACATATCTATAGTATATATATTATGCACACACACACATATATATATACATATTTTTTTTTTTTTTTTTTTTTTTGAGACAGAGTCTTGCTCTTGTTACCCAGGCTGGAGTGCAATGTCGCAATCTCGGCTCACCGCAACCTCCGTCTCCTGGGTTCAGGCAATTCTCCTGCCTCAGCCTCCTGAGTAGCTGGGATTACAGGCACGTGCCACCATGCCCAGCTAATTTTTTGTATTTTTAGTAGAGGCGGGGTTTCACCATGTTGACCAGGATGGTCTCGATCTCTTGACCTCGTGATCCACCCGCCTCGGCCTCCCAAAGTGCTGGGATTACAGGCTTGAGCCACCGCGCCCGGCCCCTTATACATATTTTTTGAGATGGAGTCTCAGTGTGTCACCCAGGCTGGAGTGCAGTGGCACAATCTCGGCTCACTGCAACCTGTATCTCCTGGTTTCAAGTGATTCTCCTGCCTCAGGCTCCCGAGTAGCTGGGAATACAGGCACATGCCACCACACCCAGTTAATTTCTGTATTTTTAGTAGAAATGGGGTTTCACCATGTTGGCCAGGCTGGCTTTGAACTCCTGACCTCGTGATCTGCCCACCTTGGCCTCCCACAGTGCTGGGATAACAGACATGAGCCACCGCTCCCGGCCCCTAGTGTGTTTAAATGTAGGAACCTAAACAATGTATTTATACTTTAACTTTGCTTTATTTGCAGGTGTTCTGTATCAGTAGAACCAGGAGATATCATACATTTGGAGGGAGACTGCACAGCTGATACTTGGATAATAGATAAAGATTTTGGGTATTTGATTTTGTATCCAGACATGCTGATTTCTGGCACAAGCATAGCCAGTAGTATTCGATGTATGAGAAGAGCTGTCCTGAGTGAAACTTTTAGGGTAAATAATAGTAACAATTAATATTTCTGCAGGGTCTGAGAGTTTACACAGTACTGTTACATTCCTTGTTTCACTTAATCCTTCCAGCAGCCCTAAAAAATAAATGGTATTAATCAGCTGCATTTTATAGATGAGGAAAATGGGCTCAGAGAGGTTAAGTGACTTACCCATAGTCACGTAGCTATGAAGTGGCAGTGCTGAGACTAAAGGCCAGCTTCCTGAGTCCTTTGAGTCTTGTTTAGGGCTTAATAAGATAAGTAATTATAATAAAAAAAATGATAAACTTTAAAATTTAAACACACCTAGACACAATTCCAAACTTGGCTTCATGTGATTCCCACTAAACTTCTACATTTTTAGAAGTCTCTTCTAAAAATGTATTTTAGGGCTAGGTGGGGTGGCTCATGCCTATAATCTCAGCACTTTGGGAGGCTGAGGTGGGCAGATCACGAGGTTAGGAGTTCGAAACCAGCCTGGCCAACATGGTGAAACCCCATCTCTACTAAAAATATAAAAATTAGCTGGGTGTGGTAGTGTGCTCCCGTGATCCCAGGTACTCAGGAGGCTAAGACAGGAGAATCACTTGAACCTGGGAGACAGAGGTTGCAGTGAGCTGAGATCATGCCACTGCACTCCAACCTGGGTTACAGAGTAAGACTCCATCTCAAAAACAAACAAAATGTATTTTGGGCTATTTCAAGCATACAAAGAAATGATTGTAATAAACACCCATGTACCCAACACCCAGGTTTTTATTTATTTTTCTTGAAACGTGGTTTTATTTCATTTTGAGACATAGTCTCACTGTGTCACCTAGGCTGTAGTGCAGTGAGTCACTGAAGCCTTGACCTCCCAGGCTTAAGTGATCTTCCCACCTCAGCCTGCTGAGTAGCCGGGACTTATAGGCATGAGCCACTGTGCTCTGCCTGAATAAATTTTTTTTTTTTTTTTTTTTGAGACGGGGTTTCGCTCTTGTTACCCAGGCTGGAGTGCAATGGCGCGATCTCGGCTCACTGCAACCTCCGTCTCCTGGGTTCAGGTAATTCTCCTGCCTCAGCCTCCTGAGTAGCTGGGATTACAGGCACGCACTACCATGCCCAGCTAATTTTTTGTATTTTTAGTAGAGACGGGGTTTCACCATGTTGACCAGGATGGTCTCGATCTCTTGACCTCGTGATCCACCCACCTCAGCCTCCCAAAGTGCTGGGATTACAGGCGTGAGCCACCGCGCCCGGCCTGAATATTAAGTTTTAAAAAACTTTTTTTTTTAATAAAATTTTGACTCACATAGAACTTGAAAAATAGCACAGAGAGTTCCTCTGTCATTTAATTTTTAAAATTTCTGCTGAATATTTTGATGAAATTCATCTAGTTTTTTGGTGAACTTCATCTAGTGTTTTGGTAGCTTCAACAGAGATTTCTAGGCTAATAGAAGAGTTAATCAGGATATGAAGTACTGTTTCTTTCTGAGTGGAGAAAAATTTCTTGCCAAAAATCTCTACTGTAGGTTAAAAAAAATTTTTTTTTCTTCCCAAATATTACTGCTAAGTAGGTTTGAATGGTATCTTTTTTTCTTTTAAGATGGAAACTTGCTCCGTCGCCTAGGATGGAATGCAGTGGCATGATCTCGGCTCACCACAGCCTCCGCCTCCCGGGTTCAAGCAATTCTCCTGCCTTAGCCTTCTGAGTATCTGTGATTACAGGCGCGCACCACCACGCCCAGCTAGTTTTGTATTTTTAGTAGAGACAGGGTTTCACCATGTTGGTCAGGCTGAACTCGAAGTCCTGACCTCAAATGATCTGCCTGCTTCGGCCTCCCAAAGTGCTGGGATTACATGTGTGAGCCACCGTGCCTGGCCTTGAATGGTATCTTTTACTTACATGAGTTTATCATCTATGTATGTCTTTATTGACTTTTTTTTTTTTTTTGAGACAGAGTTTCACTCTTGTTGCCCAGGCGGGAGTGCAATGGTGTGATCTAGGCTCACCACAACTTCTGCTTCCCGGGTTCAAGCCATTCTCTTGCCTCAGCCTCCCAAGTAGCTGGGATTACAGGCATGCGCCACCACGGTCAGCTGATTGTATTCTTAGTAGAGATGGGGTTTCTTCATGTTGGTCAGGCTGGTCTTGAACTCCCAACATCAAGTGATCCACCTGACTCAGCCTCTGAAAGTGCTGGAATTACAAGCATGAGCCACTGTGCTGGCTTTTTATTTTTTATTATTTTTGAGATGGAGTCTCATTTTGTCGCCCGGCTGGAGTATAGTGGTGTCAACTTGGTTCACTGCAGCCTGTGCCTCCTGGGTTCAAGCTGTTCTCCTGCTTCAGCCTCCTGAGTAGCTGGGACTATAGGCATGCGCCACCATGCCCAGCTAATTTTTTTGTATTTTTACTAGAGACAGGGTTTCACCATGCTGGCCAGGATGATCTCGATTTCTTGACCTCATGATCTGCCTTCCTCGGCCTCCTAAAGTGCTGGGATTACAGGCCTGAGCCACTGTGCCCGCTATATTGACTTTCCTGTTGGGTGGATTATCAAGTGAAGAGAACAATACTTTAAAAAAATGTTAATTATTTGAGAATATTTTAAAGTTTTGAATATTGGTTATTTTAATTTTTTTTTAAATGGAGAATGTTGATTTTAAAAGTAGCTCATACTCAGCCTGACCAACATGGTGAAACCCTGTCTCTACTAAAAATACAAAAAAAAAGTTAGCTGGGCATGTTGACACACACCTGTAATTCCAGCTGCTTAGGAGGTTGAGGCATGAGAATCATTTGAACCTGGGAGGTGAAGGTTGCAGTGAGCTGAGATCATGCCACTGTGCTTCAGCGTGGGTGACAGAGCAAGACTCTGTTTAAAAAAAAGTAACTCATACATTAATTCAGATAATTCTGAATAGAAGAAAGTTTTTTTTCTCCCACCAGAAAAAAAATTGTTTAATATTTTGGCATTTGTCTTACCAGTGCATTTTGGCTGTGGTGGTTTAGTAGATTGGGTAATAAATATATAACTGTGTCTGTTAATATGCTGTGAAATAAATTATGTGATTTGTTTTTACAGAGCTCAGAGCCAGCCACACGCCAAATGCTGATTGGTACGGTTCTCCATGAGGTATTTCAAAAAGCAATAAGTAATAACTTTGCTCCAGAAAAGCTACAAGAACTTGCTTTTCAAACAATTCAAGAAATAAGGCATTTGAAGGAAATGTAAGTAGTTATAAGAACTGCCGGTATAATTTTATTATACAACTTCTGTTCTAGAAATGATAAAGTTTTTATATATTAGACTATCCAATATAAATTAGTGTAATATAGAATGCAGATTTCACAGTTCCAGTACACTACTGGAACTCTATGAAGTGTTTCTGAAATTGCGCAATAGGAATTTTTTGGGTAAAAATACCTAAATATTCTGTGGATGTGCATAGCAGATCCTTAACTACTTTCAGAGAATGTATAAATAACTTTTTTGCATTAGTTCTAGAAACAATGTGATATACTGAGAAGTAATGCAGCTTTGCAGGTTTTTGGTGGGGGAGATGGGGGTCTTGCCATGCTGTCCAGGCTATACTCAAACTAGGGCTCGTGTGTTTCTCCCCACCTCAGCCTCCTGAGGTACATGCAACCATGCCAGGCCTGGTTTTTTCAGTGTTTCGTTTTGTTTTTTCTTGTTTTGAGATGAAATCTTGCTCTGTCGCTCAGGCTGGAGTATAGTGGCATGATCTCAGCTTGCTATGACCTCTGCCTCCCAGGTTCAAGCTATTCTCCTGCCTCAGCCTCCCAGGTGGCTGGGATTACAGGTGTGCACCTTCATGCTCAGCAAATTTTTGCATTTTTAGTAGAGATGGGGTTTCATCATGTTGGCCAGGATGGTCTCGATCTCCTGACCACGTGATCCTCTTGCTTCGGCCTCCCATAGTGCTGGGATTACAGGCGTGAGCCACCGTGCCCGGCCCTAAAAATATTTTTGAAACCTGGCATATGTCAGGTACTGTGTTAAGTGCTTTTAGACATCTTATGCAACCTGATAGCAGCTTGTTTGTAAATCAAGGAACAAGCACAGGGAAGTTGGAGCTTGCTCATGGCCACAAAGCATGGCAATCAAAACATCAATAGATTGATTTAAGAAAGTTTTGGCTTTGTTCATTGAGTTTCACTTATCTCCTTATTTGCCACTTTGCATTTCAAACTTTTGCCTTTTTTTGAGACCCTAATCAGCATATAGTAATGTGTAATCTGTTGTGTATTATATTGATTATCTATTGCCATGAAACAAATTATAGCAAAACTTAGTGGTTTAAAATGACAAATATCTGTTATCTCAGTTATTGTAGGTTGGAAATTGGAAAGTGGCTTACTTAGCTTTGTGGTTCTTCCATGTGGGTCTTTTATTTGGGGCTGCAGTCATTTGAAGACTGGATTTGGGTGGGAGGCTCTGCTTCCAAGATGGTTCACTCACTCACGTGTTGGCAGGAGGTTTCAGTTCCTCTCCATAGAGCTGCTAGATGTGTCCTTGTGACACAGCAGCTGCTTCCTCCAGGTGGAATGGACCAAGAAAGAGAGCAAGCAAGAAGCCACAATGCTTTTTACAGCCTAGTATTTGACTGTACATTGTCACTTAATTTTTTTTTTTTATTTGTTAGGTGCAAGTCACTTAAGTCCAACTCTCCCTAAAGGGTAGATGACTTAGGTAGCATGTTTTGAGGGGAGAATCAGATAATTTGTGAGGGTATTTTATTCTTTTTTTTTTTTTTTGAGATGGAGTTTCACTCTGTTGGCCAGGCTGGAGTGCAATGGCACAATCTCAGCTCACTGCAACCTTTGCCTCCTGGGTTCAAGCAATTCTCTTGCCTCAGCCTCCCGAGTAGCTGGGATTACAGGCACCAACCACCACGCCCAGCTAATTTTTGTTTCAGTAGAGATGGGGTTTCACCATGTTGGCCAGGCTGGTCTTGAACTTCTGACCTCAGGTGATCTGCCCACCTCGGCCTTCCAAAGTGTGGGGATTACAGGCGTGAGCCAGCACGCCTGGTCTGTATATGATCTTGAACCACATGTTTTGAAATATTTATATACTGGAATGGCTCAATAAAGCTAATTAACATATGTATTGCCTTACATACATTTTATTTTTGTGGTGAGAGCTGTTAAAATCTACTCTCAGGCCGGACGAAGTGGCTCACGTATGTAATCCCAGCACTTTGGGAGGCCGAGGCAGGTGAATCACGAGGTCAGGAGTTCAAGACCAGCCTGACCAACATGGTGAAACCTCGTCTCTACAAAAAATACAAAAATAGCCAGGCATGGTGCTGGGTGCCTGTAATCCCAGCTACTTGGGAGGTTGAAGCAGGACAATTGCTTGAACCCAGGAGGCGGAGCTTGCGGTTAGCCGAGATTGCGCCATTGCAGTCCAGCCTGGGCCGCAGAGCGAGACTCTGTCCCCGCCCACCCCCTCAAAAAAAAACTACTCTCTTTGAGATGGAGTTTCGCTCTGTCACCCAAGGTAGAGTACACCCAAGTGATCTCAGCTCAATGCAACCTCCCTTCCCGGGTTTAAGTGATTCTTGTGCCTCATCCTCCCAAGTAGCTGGGACTACAGTTGCGCACCACTATGCCTGGTTAATTTTTTAAATTTTCTGTAGAGATGAGATTTCGCCATGTTGGCCAGGCTGGTCTCCAACTCGTGGGCTCAAAGATTTACCTGCCTTAGCCTCCCAAGGTTCTGAGATTATAGGTGTGTGCCACTCCACCTGGCCAAGAATTTTATTTTACATAACCATGTGTAACATTGATATAATACTTTTATCTTCAGTTTTACCAAGTGTCCAATAATGTCCTTTATAGAATTTTTTTTCCTTCAATACAGGATTCAGTCTGGGTGCATTTATTTTTTTCTTTTTTGAGACGGAGTTTCCTTCTTTTTGCCCAGGCTGGAGTGCAATGAGTGCAATGGCAGCATCTCGGCTCACTGCAACCTCTGGCTCCTGGGTTCAAGTGATTCTCTTGCCTCAGCCTCCTGGGTAGCTGGGATTACAGCCATGTGCCACCACACCCAGCTAATTTTGTGTTTGTAGTAGAAAGGGGGTTTCTCCAATTTGGTCAGGCTGGTCTCAAACTCCTGACCTCAAGTGATCCACTCGCCTCGGCCTCCCAAAGTGCTGGGATTACAGCCGTGAGCCACCACGCCAAGCCACATTTCTTTTTTTTTTTGTTACCCAGGCTGGAGTGCAATGGCATGGTCTCGGCTCACTGTAACCTCCGCCTCCTGGGTTCAAGCAATTCTCCTGCCTCAGCCTCCTGAGTAGCTGGGATTACAGGCACACGCCACCATGCCCAGCTAATTTTTTGTATTTTTAGTAGAGATGGGGTTTCACCATGTTGACCAGGATGGTCTCGATCTCTTGACCTTATGATCCACCTGCCTTGGCCTCCCAAAGTGCTGGGATTACAGGCGTGAGCCACCACGTCCAGCCCTTTTTTTTCTTTTTTAAGTACATTCTGGAGGCCTAAGTCTGGGCGCATTTAAAATTTATTATTATTATTATTTTTTTGAGACCCAGGCTAGAGTGCTCTGTCACCCAGGCTAGAGTGCAGTGGCACAATATTGGCTCATTGCAACTTCCACCTCTTGGGTTGAAGCCATCCTCCCACCACAGCCTCCCGAGTAGCTGGAATTACAGGCACATGCTACTAGGCCCGACTAATTTTTTTTGTATTTTTAGTGAAGACAGGGTTTCACCATGTTTGCAAGGCTGATCTTGAACTCCTGACCTCAAGCGATCCACCTTCCTCGGCCTCCCAACGTTCTGGGATTATAGGCGAGAGCCACCATGCCTGTCCTAAAATTTCGATACATATTACCAAATTTCTCTGTATAGACATTGTCCCAGTTTACATTTCTACTGGCAGTATATGAAACCTTGTGAGACCAGATGCTCATCCACATCATTTTTAATTAGAAGCTGCCTGATTTCAAACAGCCTTTTGCAAGCATAACCTTTACCTTGAGTAGCCTAACTCTGTTTTTCTGTGCATCTCTTTGGGTGCTTTGGTATTAGCAGTGGCTTCCTGGCTTGAGGAATTTTAGCTTCTCTTTAACCTGAGGTGGCTATTTTGTGTAAGATAATTTTGGCAGAGCTAGCATTGCTAATTTTGTCTTTTCTTTTTTTTTTTTTGAGACGGAGTTTCACTCATGTTACCCAGGCTGGAGTGCAATGGCGCGATCTTGGCTCACCGCAACCTCCGCCTCCTGGGTTCAAGCAATTCTCCTGCCTCAGCCTCCTGAGTAGCTGGGATTACAGGCACGCACCACCATGCCCAGCTAATTTTTTGTATTTTTGGTAGAGACGGGGTTTCATCATGTTGACCAGGATGGTCTCGATCTCTTGACCTCGTGATCCACCCGCCTTGGCCTCCCAAAGTGCTGGGATTACAGGCTTGAGCCACCGCGCCCGGCTGTAATTTTGTCTTTTCTATTGGACTGGCTCTCCCAGAGGGCTGACAGCTCTCTTCTCTGTCAGTGGTAAACTGGATGTGTCAGAAATGTAGGAAAGTAACAGCTTATAAAATTTGATGTTAGAAATATTGCACAGTTGTATGGTAAATGTGTAGTATCCTGAAGTCTCCATGTCTGATGAATGTGTTATTACGGTGTCCCCTTAAGCGTGTGAGAAAAATTATAAACTTGTTACCTTTTGAAAGAAATTTGCAGTTTGTGGGAGGCTATGCTTATACTCAAATGAACTCAGGCCTGCAGGGAGAGAATAATGGCAGTAAATTTTGATAGCACAGTATAGAAGGAAGCATCATAAGGGTTAAGAACTCAAGTTGCAGGTCTAGAGGCAGAAGAATTGCTTGAACTCAGGAGGCGGAGGTTGCAGTGAGCCGAGATCGCACCAGGGCACTCCTGTCTGGGTGACAGAGTGAGAGTTCATTAAAAACAAACAAACAAACAAACTCAAGTTGCAAGTCTAGAGCTGTGTATTCTTTGGAAGTAATATAACTTCTTTTTTCTTTGAGACGGAGTCTCACTCTGTTGCTCAGGCTGGAGTGCAGTGGCATGATCTTGGCTCACTACAACCTCTGCTTCTAGGGTTCAAGTGATTATCATGCCTCAGCCTCCTGAGTAGTTGGAATTACAGGTGCGTGCCACTATGCCCAACTAATTTTTGTATTTTTCTTTAATTTTTTAAAAAAATTATTTATTTTATCTTTTTGTGATCGGAGTTTTGCTCTTGTTGCCCATGCTGGAGTACGATCATGCAAATTCAGCTCACTGCAGCCTCCACCTCCCATGTTCAAGCCTCAGACTCCTTAGTAGCTGGGACTACAGGTGTGCACCAATACGCCCAGCTAATTTTTGTATTTTTAGTAGAGACTGGGTTTTACAGTGTTGGCCAGGCTGGTCTTGAACTCCTGACCTCAGGTGATCCACCTGCCTTGGCCTTCCAAAATGCTGGGATTACAGGTGGGAGCCCGCCTGGCCTTATTTTCTATGTTTTAGTTTCTCCAGCCAGAAAATGGAGGTGACAATAATAGCACCTCTCTCATAGAGTTACAATGAAGGTTGAAGGCATTTATTCATATGAGGCACTGGGAATGGTGCTGATCTATAGTCAGCACTGTCTTTGTTGTTATCATCATGGTCTTTATACCTTAATAATTTTTTTTTTCCTTTCTGAATCTCCCTCTGTTGCCCAAGCTGGAGTGCAGTAATATGATCTCAGCTCACTGCAACCTCTGCCTCCTGGGTTCCAGTGATTCTCCTGCCTCAGCCTTCCGAGTGGGTGGGATTACAGGTGTGCGCCACTACGTCCCACTAATTTTTTTGTATTTTTAGTAGAGATGGGGTTTCAGCGTGTTGGCCAGGCTGGTCTCAAACTCCTGACCTCTAGTGATCCTCCCACCTCAACCTCCCAAAGTGCTGGGATTACAGGTGTGAGCCACCGCGCCCAGCCTCTATCTTAATGAGTTCTTAACATCAGCTAAGTGCTTTACATACATTGTTCTATTTAATCCTCAGACTAACTTTGTAAGGTACTTATCATCTTCTCCTTACAGATGAGGAAACAGGCTTAATTAACACTAATCTTAGTCATACATCTGGTTAGTGCAGAGTTAGGATTCAGTCCTAGGTGTGATCTGACATACAAACTTATATGCTTCGACCACCCTAGTTATTAAGATTGGGGGGCTTAAATATAAAGAAGGCTGGAATAATCATCCTAGGAGGGGAAGTCTATAACAGCAGTTCTTAAAACTTTTTGCTCTCAGGACCTCTTTATGCTAAAAAATTATTAAGGACTGTAAAGAGCTTTTGTTTATGTGGGCTATATCCATGATTAATTGCTATAATAGAAGTCAAAACTGAGATGTTTATTAATTCATTTGAAATTAAAATGTGTATTCATTTTTGTTGTTGTTGTTGAGACAGAATCTTCCTCTCTTGCCCAGGCTGGAATACAGTGGCATGATCTCGGCTCACTGCAACCTCCGCCTCCTGGGTTCAACTGATTTTCCTGCCTCAGCTTCCCTAGTAGCTGGGATTATAAGAATGAGCCACCAGGCCTGGCTAATTTTTGTGTTTTTAAGTAGAGACGGGGTTTCACCATGTTGGTCAGGCTGGTGACCAACATGACCCCAAGTGATCCACCTGCCTCAGCCTCCCAAAATGCTGGGATTACAGACATTATCCACCTCGCCCAACTCATGTTAACCATTTGTGTTTTTTTTGTTTTTACTATTTTATTTTTGTGTACATATTTGTTTAAAATCAGTGATTTTCTTGGCCAGGTTCAGGTAAGTGAAGGGCCTTTATAAGTAGTTGATATTGTTTAGACCCAAGGTATGCTGAAAACACAGTCTGCAGCAGAATAGAAAATAACATCTTTCTAAAGACAGGCTTAGAAACTCTAAGCCAGTAACTTAAGATGTTCCCTTTGTTTGGTAACAGAGCTGTTTCATACCTGGCTGCTAGGCTACCATTTACAGGTAAAGCTAAGAAAACAGGGTATAGACCACCAGCAAGAAGACCAACCAGTCCACTACGTGTTGCGGTACAGGTTTTGCAATTCATATCACCTGTTATCAAAGGAATATCTACAAAACCTCTGTAAGTTACTTGTGTTGTAAAGAAAGGGATCACTGCCATTGGTAAGGTAGAAACTATACGAGCCTTTGTCACATTCAAGACGCGTCGAAAAAGACTGTTTCCTATGAGGCCACAGAGAGCAGCATTTAATCCAACATAAACTGATCCGTTTTCAAGTAGATTCCTTTCTGCTTCTGGAAGCTGGTTAATTTTTCTGTTTACGATTTCAAAAATGTTTTCCTGGTTATTGGATTCATAATTTTCCATTTTGAGCCTTATGCTCTCCTCCCACTAGCCTGTGGGTGCCTCCTCAGGTCTTCCGCAGCCACCCCGGAGGTCACTACAGCTCTACTCGCCTGAGCGCAGCCATCTTTGGCTGACACGTGACTCGGCCTCAACCATTTTTAAGGGTACATTTCAGAGGCAAAGTACATTCACCTTGTTGTACAACCATCACTCCATCTATCTCCAGAACTCTTTGCATTTTTCTAAACTGAAGCTCTGTACCCTTGAAACAATAACCCCCATTCTTTCCTCCTCCCATCCTCTTGCACCCTCCATTCTACTTTCTGTATCTATGATTTTGACTACTGTAGGTACCTCATATGAATATTAGTCCTTTATGACTGGCCTGTTTCACTTAGCATAATGTCCTGAAGGTTCTTCCATGTTGTAGCATATGTCAGAATTCCCTTTCTTTTTATAGCTGAATAATATTGGATTGTGTAGAGTGTGCCACATTTGGTTTATCTATTCATTGGCTGATGAATAGTTGGGTTGCTTATTTGTATGCTTTTGTCCCCATTTACTTTTCTCATATTTATACTTTCATATTTACTATCACATTTTTGGCAGGTACCGCTTAAATCTAAATCAAGATGAAATAAAACAAGAAGTAGAGGACTACCTTCCTGCATTTTGTAAATGGGCAGGAGATTATATGCATAAGAACAGTTCAACTGACTTCCCTCAGATGCAGCTCTCTCTGTAAGAAACACATTTTGTTTATATAGTCTTCATTTTTTTTTTTTTTTTGAGACGGAGTTTCGCTCTTGTTACCCAGGCTGGAGTGCAATGGCGCGATCTCGGCTCACCGCAACCTCCGCCTCCTGGGTTCAGGCAATTCTCCTGCCTCAGCCTCCTGAGTAGCTGGGATTACAGGCACGCGCCACCATGCCCAGCTAATTTTTTGTATTTTTAGTAGAGACGGGGTTTCACCATGTTGACCAGGATGGTCTCGATCTCTTGACCTCGTGATCCACCCGCCTCGGCCTCCCAAAGTGCTGGGATTACAGGCTTGAGCCACCACGCCCGGCCCTAGTCTTCATATTTTTAGACCAGGATGCTATTCTGGGTGTTGAATCACAGCTTTTAAAAGATTGAGCATTACAATTAGCCTTTTTACTTGCTTATTTTATAAATTACGGTCCTAAGTATCTTTCCATGACAAAAAAGAACCCAGTGAACAGAAAATTTTATTTTCATTATTAAAGATAGCCTGTTTTTTATATGAAGATATGTATGGTCTTTTTCATTCTTTTATGCTTTTTTAAGACAGAGTTTTGCTCTGTTGCCCTGGCTGAAGTGCAATAGCATGATTTCAGCTTACTCCACCTCTACCCTCTGGGTTCAAGCAGTTCTTCTGCCTCAGCCTCCCAAGTAGCTGAGATTACAGGGACCCACCACCATGCCTGGCTAATTTTTTGTATTTTTAGTAGGACAAGGTTTTGCCATGTTGGCCAGCCTGGTCTCGAACTCCTGACCTCAGGTGATCCCTCCACTTCGGTCTCCCAAAGTGCTGGGATTATGGGCGTGAGTGACCATTCCTGGCCTGTGTTTTCTTATAAAGCAATCAATTATAAATATTTTGGGGGTCCTAATTTTTTTCATTTGATTCCTTTTTTTTTTTTTTTTGAGATAGAGTCTTATTCTGTCACCCAGGCTGGAGTACAGTGGTATGATCTCTGCTTACTGCAACCTTTGCCTTCCGGGTTCAAGCAATTCTGCCTCAGCCTCCCAAGCAGCTGGGATTATAGGCATTCACCATCATACCCGGCTAATTTTTGTATTTTTATTAGAGATGGAGTTTTGCCTTATTAGCCAGGCTGGTCTCAAACTCCTGACCTTAAGTGATACTAGCTGTGTGTACAGCATCTCAGGGAGCCAGTGTGATGGCTGGAGCAAAGTGCAGTAGGAGAAAAGCAGCAGTAGTTTTTCTGGGGCCTCATCCTGGTCAAGACTTGGCTACTGCCCTGATTAGATAGGAAGCCATTGGAGGCTTTTTATATGATTTCCTTTTTTTGAAAGATATTTATGGTCCTAAGTATCTTTCCTTGAAAAAAAGGAAACCAGTGAATAGAAAATTTTATTTTCATTATTATAAGATAGCCTATTTTTTATATGTAGATATGTATATTCTTTTTCTTTCTTTTTTTTTCTTTGAGACAGAGTCTTGCCCTATTCCAGGCTGCAGTGCAATGGCTTGATCTCGGCTTACTGCAAACTCTACCTCTTGGGTTCAAGCAATTCTCCTGCCTCAGCCTTCCAAGTAGCTGCAATTATAAGCATGCACCACCACACCTGGCTAATTTTGTATTTTTTGTAGAGATGGGGTTTTTTTATGTTGGTCAGGATGGTCTTGAACTCCTAACCAGATGGAAAAGAGCTAAGTGTTCTAATTAAGTGGTTTTTTTTTTTTGTTTTTTTTTTTTTTAAAGACGGGGTTTCATCATGTTGATCAGGCTGGCCTTGAACTCCCAAACTCAGGTGATCCGCCCGTCTTGGCCTCCAAAGTGCTTGGATTACAGGCGTGAACCACCACGCCCAGCCTCTAATTAAGTGTTTTTGTGCTTTTTTTTTTAGGCCAAGTGATAATAACAAGGATAATTCAACATGTAACATTGAAGTCGTGAGATCAGTGGATATTGAAGAAAGCATTTGGTCCCCTAGGTTTGGATTGAAGGGCAAAATAGATGTTACAGTTGGTGTGAAAATACATCGAGGGTGTAAAACAAAATACAAGATAATGCCATTGGAACTTAAAACTGGCAAAGAATCAAATTCTATTGAACACCGTAGTCAGGTATAAATTTTAATAAGAAAATTGTTTAATACTTTTAAAGATAAAGTCTGCTTTGTATATTTTGGTTCAATTTAGGTCATTTTTATTTCAGTTTCATGTACTTTTTCATTTACAACATTTAGGGTACTCAGCTTGTTTTGTAAATACATAAATGCTACAGTAGAAATGTCTATCAGCAAAGTAATATAACAGCTGAATTTGTAAGCCAATGTTGCCAAATTTAGGCTGCCAAACAAGTCTAAGCAGATGATCCTAAGAAAAATAGTTATTGTCCTGGCACGGTGTTGGGAGGGTCATTTGAGCCCAGGAGTTCAGTACCAGCCTGGGCAACATAGCAAGACCTCATCTCTACAAAAAAAACAAAAAAATTAGCCAGGCATGGTGGTGCACACCTGTAGTCAGAGCTACTCAGGAGTCTGAGGCTGGAGGATAGCTTTAGCCCAGAAGGTTGAGGCTTCAGTGAGCTGTGATTGTACCACAGCACTTCAGCCTGGGCAACAGAACAAGACCCCGACTCTAAAGAAAAGGCTGGGTAGCCGGGCGTGGTGGCTCACGCCTGTAATCCCAGCACTTTGGGAGGCCGAGGCGGGTGGATCACGAGGTCAAGAGATCGAGACCATCCTGGTCAACATGGTGAAACCCCGCCTCTACTAAAAATACAAAAAATTAGCTGGGCATGGTGGCGCGTGCCTGTAATCCCAGCTACTCAGGAGGCTGAGGCAGGAGAATTGCCTGAACCCAGGAGGTGGAGGTTGCGGTGAGCCGAGATTGCGTCATTGCACTCCAGCCTGGGTAACAAGAGCGAAACTCCGTCTCAAAAAAAAAAAATTAAAAAAAAAAAGAAAAGGCTGGGTGCGGTGGCTCATGCCTGTAATCCCAGCACTTCACCTGAGGTCAGGAGTTCAAGACCAGCCTGGACAACATGGCAAAACCCTGTGTCTATTAAAAATACAAAAATTAGTCGGGTGTAATGGCACACACCTGTAATCCCAGCCACTTGGGAGGCTGAGGCATGAGAATTGCTTGAACCTGGGAGGCGGAAGTTGCAGTGAACCAAGATTTTGCCACTGCACTCCACTTCAGCCTGTGCAACAGAGTGAGACTCTGTCTAAAAAAAAAAAAAAAAAAAAAAAAGAAAAAGAATTCTTGGTTATGTTAATTGGGGAAACCAAGTGTATCTGAAGATTTTGCAGTGTACTGTATTAAAGTTTTTACCATGGAACTGTTTTTTCATATAACATTCACTTAGGTTGGTCTTCAGAAAATATCGATGTAAATTCATTCTTTTATTTCCAACCTTTATGTGATTATATTGATTTTTATCTAAGATGAAATACAGATATCTGTTTTACCATTATGTTAAATTCAAGTTTTAAAGATTATTTGGGGTCAGGCATGTTCTCACACCTGTAATCCCAGCACTTTGGGAGGAACTTCAGGAGTTTGAGACCAGCCTGGGCAAAATGGTGAAACCCTATCTTTACTAAAAATACAAAAACTAGCTGTGCATGGTGGCACGTACCTGTAATCCCTGAGGCTGAGGCAGGAGAATCACCTGTATCTAGGAGGCAGAGGTTGCAGTGAGCTGAGATTGCACCACTGCACTCCAGCCTGGGTGACAGAGTGAGAGTCCATCTTTTTTTTTTTAAAGAGATGGGGTTTCACTGTGTTGGCCAGGCTGGTCTCGAACTCCTGACCTCAAGTGATCCACCCGCCTCGGCCTCCCAAAGTGTTGGGATTACAGGCGTGAGCCACCGGAGAGTCCATCTTTAAAAAAAAAAAAATCATTAAAAAAATTTGTATTTTTCTTTGATAAACAATTTCCTATTGTCCTTTCAAAATTATTGTTATTATTATCTTTTTTTTTTTTTTTTCTTTTGAGACAGAGTTTCACTGTTGTTGCCCAGACTGGAGTGCAATGGCGCGATCTTGGCTCACCGCAACCTCCACCTCCTGGGTTCAGGCAATTCTCCTGCCTCAGCCTCCCGAGTAGCTGGGACTACAGGCACGCACCATCATGCCCAGCTAATTTTTGTATTTTTAGTAGAGACGAGGTTTCACCTTGTTGACCAGGATGGTGTCGATCTCTTGACCTCGTGATCCACCTGCCTCGGCCTCCCAAAGTGCTGGGATTATAGGCGTGAGCCACCGCGCCCGGCCCAAAATTATTTTTAATTTACATTAATTATAGTGATTTAACAAATCAGCTAACACTAAATTGTGTTGTATTTTCTGATTATTGTCATCCCTTCTACCCATCTCTACATTGGCATCTCTACATTGACAAAGCTATGAAAAATCATGTTTTCATAGCGTTTATTTATTTATTTATTTTGAAACAGAGTCTTGCTCTGTCACCCAGGCTGGAGTGCAGGGGCATGATCTTAGCTTATTGCAACCTCCAACTCCCCAATTCAAGTGATTCTCCTGTCTGTCTCCTGAGTAGCTGGGACTACAGGCGCATGACACTGTGCCCAGGTTTTTTTTTTGTTTTGTATTTTAGGAGAGACAGGCTTTCATTGTTTTGCCCAGGCTGGTCTTGAACTCCTGAGCTTAGGCATTCCACCTGCCTTGGTCTCACAAAGTGCTAGGATTACAGGCATGAGCCACCGAGCCTGGCCTATAGAAGCTTTTAAATCAGCAAAGATAGAACTAAAAGATAGTAACATTATTATATTTTTACAATATAATATTTGCTAAGAAAATAAATAATAAAACAACGTAGAGTTTATAATATAACAAATTTCCATTGCCCTTACAATTTTGCATATTATTTGAACATATTTTATATAAAATAAGGTTCAAAATACTTATATAATTAGATATTAAAGAGTCATGCTTTATTAAATCTTTCTTGCAGGCTGGGCGAGGTGGCTGACGCCTTTAACCCAGGGAGGCTAAGGCAGGTGTTTCTCCTAAAGTCAGGAGTTTGAGATCAGCCTGGCCAATGGTGGAACCCTGTCTCTACTGGAAATACAAAAATTAGCCAGGTGTGGCAGCAGATGCTTGTGATCCCAGCTACTTGGGAGGCTGAGGCAGGAGAATCGCTTCAGTCTGGAAGGCAGAGGTTGCAGTGAGCTGAGGTTTCGCCACTTCACTCCAGCCTGGGCAGCCTGGGTGACAGTGAGAGACTCTTATCTCAAACAAAAAAAGAAAAAAAAATATTTCTTGCTTTTTTCTTTTTTTGAGACAAGGTTTGGCACTGTCACCTAGGCTGGAGTGCAGTGACTCGATCTTAGCTCTGGAACCTCCACCTCCCGGACTCAAGCCATCCTCCCACCTCAGCCTTCCGAGTAGCTGGGACTAGAGGTGCACACTACTAGAGGTGACTAATTTTTGTATTTTTTGTAGAGATGGGGTTTTGCCATGTTGTCCAGCCTAGTCTCGAACTCGTGACCTCACATCATCCTCCCATCTCAGCCTCCCAAAGTGTTGGGTTTACAGGTGTGAGCCACCATGCCAGCCTTTTGCTATTAATTGTGTACCAAACATCGAAGGCTTTTTTTTCTTTTTTTTTTGAGATGGAGCCTCCCTCCGTTGCCCAGGCTGGAGTGCACTGACACCATCTCTGCTCACTGCAATCTCTGCCTCCCCAGTTGAAGCAGTTCTCCTGCCTCAGCCTCCTGAGTAGCTGGGATTACAGGTGTGCGCCACCACGCCCAGCTAATGTTTTTGTATTTTTAGTGGAGATAGGGTTTCACCATGTTAGCCAGGCTGGTCTCAGTCTGCCTGCCTTGGCCTCCCAAAGTGCTGGAATTACAGGCATGAGCTACTGTACCCGGCTACATTGAAGGTTTTCACAAGAGCTCTACAGTTTGGGAATGAAAACTTTGCTTCACCTATTATTGGGTTTTCTGGAGATGTTGGATGTGGAAGAAAACATTTTCGCTTTTTAAAGAGTTTAACTTTTTTACTTTGGTAATAGAGAAATAATTGAAATTTCAAACTTACAGACTTGGCTAAGTTAAAACCCTCTCGAGGAAGAAAAATTATGCCAATAGAAGAAAGGCTGTTTTTGAAGTCAAAGGTCAGAAGAAATGTGTTTTGTGTATATCAGACTGAAAATTTTTTACTTGATTTTTAAAAATCACAAGTTTGAATGAAATCACTTTATAATGCTAAACAGGAGAGAAATATAAAAGCATTTCAAGGCCAGGTGTGGTGACTTATGTCTGTAATCCCAGCACTTTGGGAGGCCAAGGTGGGTAGATTACTTGAGGTCAAGAGTTTGAGACCAGCCTGGCCAATGTGATGAAACTCCATCTCTACTACAAAAAAAAAAAAAGAAACGAAAAAATTAGCCCAGCATGGTGTCATGTACCTCCAGTCCCAGCTACTTGGGAGGCTGAGGCAGGAGAATTCCTCGAACCAGGGAGGCAGAGGTTTCAGTGAGCTCAGATTGTGCCACTGCACTTCAGCCTAGGTGACAGATCAAGATTCAGTCTCTAAAAAATAAATAAAAGCATTTCAGTATCTTAAGTGATTTAGATTCCAAGACTTTTTTTTTTCCCCAAGACCTTTTTTCATTGAGATTGCTGCTCTAATTTGCTGTGCCTTCAAGGCAAAGAATATTACTGTATTTAATTTTGTTCAATTGGAGGTTTTATTTTGCAAGAAGTGCAAGAAAATTTTAAGAATAAAATAGTAATTATTGTATTGAAAAAAATGAGGAAATTGGCCTGGCATGGTGACTCATGCCTGTAATCTCAGCACTTTGGGAGGCCGAGGCAGGTGGATCACCTGAGGTCAGGTGTGGGTAGTTAGTGGGTTACATAAGATATTTTAATACAGGCATGCAATAAGATCCCCTCAAACGTTTATTCTTTGTGTTACAAATAACCCAGTTATACTCCTTAGTTATTTGAAAATGCATAGTTAAATTATGTTTGACTATAGTTATTCTGTTGTGGTGGCAAATACTAGGTCTTACTCATTCCGTCTAACTTTCTTTTGGTACCCATTAACCATCCCCACTTCTCCCCCACCACCCTCACTACCGTTCTCAGCCTCTGGTAACCAACCTTCTACTATCCATCTCCATGAGTTTAGTTGTTTAATTTTTTGCTCCCACAAGTAAATGAGAACATACGAAGTTTTCTGTATCTGGCTTTTTTAATTTAACATAATGACCATCAGTTTGTCTCACTGTATTGCCCAGGCTGGTCTCCAACTCCTGGGCTCAAGGGATCCTCCTGCCTTGGCCTCCCAAAGTGTTGAGATTACAGGTGTGAGCCACCATGCCCGGCCTGGATTTTTTGAGAAAATCCATTTAATTGTTGGATTAGATGTTTGACATCAAATTTGTTGTGTTACCTTTACTAATTTGGCCCATGTTCCTTTTTATTTATTTATTTATTTTATTTATTTTCTCTTTTTGTTTTCAGTCTATCATCGATGGGCAACCATGTTACTTTTTAAATAGAAATAGCTTTATTGGTGTTTTGACTTAAAAATTAGGTTTTGGTTGCAAGAAAATGTAGGGAAATACAAGAAGTTATAATTTTGTTTGAGCAAATGTCAATGTTTACACAGGTTGTTCTGTACACTCTGCTAAGCCAAGAGAGAAGAACTGATCCAGAGGCTGGCTTGCTTCTCTACCTCAAGACTGGTCAGATGTACCCTGTGCCTGCCAACCATCTAGATAGAAGAGGTGGAGCTCTTTTCTTTTAGCTTTGCTTCTTTGTTCCACCTCCCACTTCAGCTTCTGGTGATACATATTTATACCTGACAATCTACTCACAGTACTTACTAGGGTGTACTTTGTAGCTATGGGTTTTTTTTGTGTTTTTTTTTTTAAAGACAGAGTTTCGCTGTTATTGCCCAGGCTGGAGTGCAATGGTGTGATCTCGGCTCACTGTAACCTCCGCCTCCTGGGTTCAAGCGATTCTCCTGCCTCAGCCTTTCGAGTAGCTGGGATTACAGGCATTCACCACCACACCTGGCTAATTTTTTTTTTTTTTTTTTTTTGAGACGGAGTTTCACTCTTGTTACCCAGGCTGGAGTGCAATGGCGCGATCTCGGCTCACCGCAACCTCCGCCTCCTGGGTTCAGGCAATTCTCCTGCCTCAGCCTCCTGAGTAGCTGGGATTACAGGCATGCGCCACCATGCCCAGCTGATTTTTTGTATTTTTAGTAGAGACGGGGTTTCACTATGTTGACCAGGATGGTCTCGATCTCTTGACCTCGTGATCCACCCACCTCGGCCTTCCAAAGTGCTGGGATTACAGGCGTGAGCCACCGCGGCTAATTTTGTATTTTTAATAGAAACAGGGTTTCTCTATGTTGATCAGGCTGGTCTCAAACTCCTGACCTCAGGTGATCTGCCCGCCTCGACCTCCCAAAGTTCACCCAGCCGATCTGTGGGCTTTTTGTTGTTGCTGTTTTGTGTGTGTTTTTTTGTTTTTGATTTTTGAGACAGAGTCTTACTCTGTTACCCAGGCTGGAGTGCAGTGGCACAATCTCAGCTCACTGCAGCCTCCACCTCCTGGATTGAAGCTGTTCTCCTTCCTCAATCTCCTGAGTAGCTGGGATTACAAGCATGTGCCACCATGGCTGGCTAATTATATTTTTAGTAGAGATGGGGTTTTGCCATGTTGACCAGGCTGGTCTTGAACTTCTGGCCTCAAGTGATCTGCCCACCTTGGCCTCTGAAAGTGCTGGGATTATAGGCGTGAGCCACTGCAACTCGCCATTGTGGTATTTTTTAAAAAGAATTTTGATAATATACTCTGTAGTTGAAAACATTATTAATCTTTTAAAATTTTATTATGCAAAATTTATTTCAAACTTTCTATTTTATGTTAAAGAAAGATATTCTACATAGCTGTATTTTTCCTCAGCATTCAGCTAATACCAACTTCACAATGCTTGCTAGTTATAAAATGTGTAGTTTAAAGAAAATTTATCAAGTGAACAAAAAACTTAAAGGAAATATGCCAAAATGTTAAGTTATTCTAGTATAGTGGGAAATATGAATGCTGTTTTTCCTTTTAAAAATGTTTGTTTATGGGCCGGGCGCGGTGGCTCAAGCCTGTAATCCCAGCACTTGGGGAGGCTGAGGCGGGTGGATCACGAGGCCAAGAGATCGAGACCATCCTGGTCAACATGGTGAAACCCCGTCTCTACTAAAAATACGAAACATTAGCTGGGCATGGTGGCGCGTGCCTGTAATCCCAGCTACTCAGGAGATTGAGGCAGAAGAATTGCCTGAACCCAGGAGGAGGAGGTTGCGGTGAGCTGAGATTGCGCCATTGCACTCCAGCCTGGGTAACAAGAGTGAAACTCCGTCTCAAAAAAAAAAAAAAAAAGTTTATTTATTTATTTTTTTATGGAATGCTTCACGAATTTGCGTGTCATCCTTGCACGGGGGCCATGCTCATCTTCTCTGTGTCGTTCCAATTTTAGTATATGTGCTGCCGAAGTGAGCACTGTTTGTTTATTTCAAGATGAAATTTCGCTCGTTGCCCAGGCTGGAGTGCAATGGCTTGATCTTGGCTCACTGCAACTGCTGCCTCCCGGTTTCAAGCAATCCTCCTGCCTCAGCCTCCTGAGTAGCTGGAATACAGGGATGTGCCACCACGCCTGGCTAATTTTGTATTTTTTGTAGAGTTGGGATTTCGTCATGTTGGTCTGGCTAGTCTCCAACCCTTACCTCAGGTGATCCGCCTGCTTCGGCCTCCCAAAGTGGGATTACAGGTGTGAGCCACTGACCCCAGCCCTAATAAGCTTTTAAATCTGAAAGTTTTACATATATAATGAAAAAGACATGATGAATTTTCTTTAATTCTTAAAAAGACATTCTCCTTTTTTTTTATAGAATTATTAAAGCTAAGAAATCAGATGGCATTTTCTTTGTTTCACCGTATTAGCAAATCTGCTACTAGACAGAAGACACAGCTTGCTTCTTTGCCACAGATAATTGAGGAAGAGAAAACTTGTAAATATTGTTCACAAATGGGCAATTGTGCTCTTTATAGCAGGTAAATATTGTCTTCCAAAGGCATTATTTCAAGTTGAATGTGAACTCAACTAAATATGATTTAACATTGGTGGCTTGTCCAGCATTGATATCATTATTTTAGTTATTTTTCCTTTATATTTTCCTTCGTGTGTATTATTTCTAAAATTAAGAGAATAGAAAAACAACCACAGTACGTATTTTCTTTTTTTTTTTTTAAAGACGGGGTTTCACCATGTTGGTCAGGCTGGTTTTGAACTCCCGACCTCAGGTGATCCGCCCGGCTTGGCCTCAGAAGTGCTTGGATTACAGGTGTGAGCCACCACGCCCGGCCCATAGTACATATTTTCTCAGAAGCCTATTTCCATGAGAAATTAATAGAGTGCTTTAAAAAGTTTTTCCAAAAATGGATAGTTTTAATTTTGCTGCATTCAGTTTTGTGAAATGAAATAATTTTAGGACAGTGGAATCAGCTTATGAAAGGTGTAGTACATTTGAGCATCCCAAGTTCAAAACCTCGAAATCTAAAATGCTTCAAAAATCCAAAAGGTTTTTTGTTTTCTTTTGTTTCTAGAAACAGGGTCTTGCTCTGTTGCCCAGGCTGAAGTGCAGTGGTACAATCTTAGCTGACTATAGCCTCAAACTCCTGGGCTCAAGTGATCCACCTGCCTTGGCCTTTAAAAGTGCCAGGATTACAAGTGTGAGCCACCACACCTGGCCTGAAATCGGAAACATTTTGAGCACTGACATGATTCTCAAAGAAAATGCTCATTGGAGGATTTCACATTTCAGATTTTGATTTTTAACCAATATAATGCAAGTATTCCAAAATCTGAGTAAATAAGAAACACTTCTAATCTCAACCATTTTGGATAAGGGATACTCAACCTATATAGGCATTTTGAATACAAGTTTTCTTAAATGATAGTTCAAGACATCTTCCATTTCTTTCTTTCTTTCTTTTTTTTTTTTTTTTTTTTTTAAACAGAGTTTCGCTCTTTCGCTTGGCTCACTGCAACCCCTGGCTCCTGGGTTCAAGTGATTCTCTTGCCTCAGCCTCCTGAGTAGCTAGCTAGGACTACAGGCACCTGCCACCACGCCCAGCTAATTTTTAAAATTTTTTAGTAGAGATGGGGTTTCACCATGTTGGTGAGGATGATCTGGATCTCTTGACCTCATGATCTGCCTACCTCAGCCTCCCAAAGTGCTGGGATTACAGGCATGAGCCACTGTGTCCAGCCAAAATAATTTCTTAAAAAGCATTTATGCGAATTTTTAGACTAAATTAGAACTTTGGCTCTGATTTGACTGTGTTTTCCATCTGTATATACATCTAATTATTTTATGTCCTTCAAAACTTTCACTGCCCTATTATGAAGATATTATAAAAAAATACATATGGCTATTCATATGTCAGCTAATAAACTTTCCATTTGTAGAGAAACAGCCATATATAAACAGGACAGGCCCGTTCACTGGATATCAAACTACCTATCTGAAAGTAATTTCCCTGTCTCTAACTACAAAAGGGCTGAGATTAAAACAGCAAGTAAGATGTGACAGCTGACCACTGTGTTAGGCTGATCTCGAACTCCTGACCTCAAATGATCCGCCCACCTCAGCCTCCCAAAGGGCCGAGGTTCCAGGCATGAGTCACCGTGCCCAGCTAATTTTTTGTATTTTTAATAGAGACAGGGTTTCACTATGTTAGCCAGGCTGGTCTTGAACTCCTGACCTCAAGGGATTTGCCTGTCTTGGTCTCCCAAAGTTCTGGGATTATAGGCGTGAGCCATGACACTAGGCCGAAATTCAAATTTGTTTTGAGAGAGAGAGCCTTGCTCTGTCACCCAGGCTGGAGTGCAGTGGTGTGATCTCACCTCCCTGCAACCTTTGCCTCTTGGGTTTAAGCATTTCTCCTGCCTCAGCCTCCTGAGTAGCTGGGACTACAGGTGCAGGCTGCCACCACCGGCTAATTTTTTGTATTTTAGTAGAGATGGGGTTTCACCGTGTTGCCCAGGCTGGTCTCGAACTCATGAGCCCAGGCAATCCACTGGACTTGGCTTCCCAAAGTGCTAGGATTACAGGCGTAAGCCACTGTGCCCAGCCTCACATAAATCCTTTTTAAAGTATTTGTTCAAGGGATCTCTTAATAGCAGAGGACTGTGAACCGTAGGAAGTCTGGGTACATTTCTTCGAAATCTTATGTTTATTGTCAATGTTTTGTATGCTGTCCTATAGCATGTTTGTTTCTATAGAAAATATTTTAAACTGGTATTAAGCAAAATCCAAATGATTGTCCATGTTTTTATGTTTACTTATGTCACTGAGCTAGGTGTACAAATATTGTGATTTTTGAGAAATGATGTTGTACTAAAAGCCAAAACTTCTTGCATTTGGGAATGCAGATTATAGTATACCAAACGTGAGTTGTTTGGGAGATAGTCATTGAGGCAATGTAATGCAGTATTGAGTTTCTTACACATTTTGTTTTATAAAAAACCATATGGCTTATAAAATGTTGAAATGACTTTTAAGGTAAATTAGGGGCTGTGGTTATGAGTTATGATGATATATGTGTTCTTAATTTGGAATTATCTCACTTCATAGCCAGCCAGGGAAATGGTTTATAAGCATCTCTAACTTGGAACTTTATATTTAGAGCAGTTGAACAACAGATGGATGGTAGTTCAGTCCCAATTTTCATGCTGCCCAAAATAGAAGAAGAAACCAAGCATCTGAAGCATACACACTTAGAATATTTCAGCCTTTGGTATCTAATGTTAACCCTGGAGTCACAGTCAAAGGATAATAAAAAGAATCACCAAAATATATGGCTAAGGCCTGCTTTGGAAATGTAAGTAGTCCATTTATTTATTTATTTATTTATTTTTTTTTTTTGAGACGGAGTTTCGCTCTTGTTACCCAGGCTGGAGTGCAATGGCGCGATCTCGGCTCACCGCAACCTCCGCCTCCTGGGTTCAGGCAATTCTCCTGCCTCAGCCTCCTGAGTAGCTGGGACTACAGGCACACGCCACCATGCCCAGCTAATTTTTTGTAGTTTTAGTAGAGACGGGGTTTCACCATGTTGACCAGGATGGTCTCGATCTCTTGACCTTGTGATCCACCCGCCTCGGCCTCCCAAAGTGCTGGGATTACAGGCTTGAGCCACCGCGCCCGGCCAAGTAGTCCATTTAATACTGAAAGATTTCAGTGGTTTGCATTGGCTAGTGAGGTGGCATTTGGAATTTATGACAAATACAGGTTATGTAGCATATTATAGATATGTGATTTCGTTTATTCATGACAAATGCAAATGGCTCTCCATTGTTTCTAAGAAGAGCATCATTACTGTGTAACCTATGTGCTGGAATCATTGCTAGTTAGTAATATAGTTTCAGGACGCTAAATATGCCTCAAGAAATTTGTTTTAAAAATTGCTTTTCTGGCTGGGTGCTGTGGCTCACGCCTCTAATTCCAGCACTTTGGGAGGCCAAGGCTGGTGGATCACCAGGTCAGGAATTCAACAAGACTAGCCTGGCCAAGATGATGAAACACTGTCTTTACTAAAAACACAAAAATTAGCCAAGCGTGGTGACGGATGCTTGTAATCCCAGCTACTTGGGAGGCTGAGGCAGAGAATTGCTTGGACCTGAGATGTGGAGGTTGCAGTGAGCCAAGATCGCACCACTGCATTTCAGTGTGGGTGACAGAGGAAGAGACTCCATCTCAATAAATAAATAAATAAGTTAATTAAAATTACTTTTCTTTGGGACGCCGAGGCGGGTGGATCACCTGAGGTGAGGAGCTTTAGAGCAGGCTGGCCAATATGGTGAAACCCCATTTTTACTAAAAATACAAAAAGGCCAGGTACAGTGGCTCATGCCTATAATCCCAGCACTTTGGAAGGCTGAGGCAGGTGGATCACCTGAGGCCAGGAGTTTGAGACTAGCCTCGTCAACATGGCAAAACCCCATCTCTACTTAAAATACAAAAAAGGCATGGTAGCACATGCGTGTAATCCCAGCTATTGGGGAGGCTGAGGCAGGAGAATCGCTTGAATTTAGGAGGCGGAGGTTGCAGTGAGCCGAGATTGTGCCACTGCACTCCAGCCTGGATGACAAAGTGATACCCCATCTTTTTTTTTTTTTTTTCATACTAGCTCATTAGTGGTAGATCCAAAGAGACTGCATCTTAAAAAAAAAAAAATTTTGTCAGGGCAGCGGCTCATGCCAGTAATCCCAGCACTTTCGGAGGCTGAAGCAGGTGGATCGCTTAAGCTCATGAGTTTGAGACCAGCCTGGACAGCATGGCAAAACTGTGTCTCTACAAAAAATACAAAAATTACCTGGGTGTGGTAGTGCATGCCTGTAGTCCCAGGCTGAGGTGGGAGGATGGCTTGAGCCAGAGGTGAAGGTTGCAGTGAGTCCAGATCGAGCCACTGCACTCCAGCCTGGGTGATAGAGCTAGATCTTGACTCAAAAAAAAATTTTTTTTTAATCCTATTAAAAATTTTCAGTGGGCCGGGCGCGGTGGCTCAAGCCTGTAATCCCAGCACTTTGGGAGGCCGAGGCAGGTGGTTCACAAGGTCAAGAGATCGAGACCATCCTGGTCAACATGGTGAAACC